TAGAAGAACCAAATTGGCCAACAATTCCAAGTGCATTAGCTGAAGTTTTTTTTTTTTTTTTTTTTTTTTTTTTTTTTTTTTTTTTTTTTTTTTTTTTTTTTTTTTTTAAATATTCACCTCCCCAAGGCCCGAGGGGGCCACTACAGTTGAGGAGGCTACTTATTATTATTATTTTTTTTTAATTATTTTTATATATTTTTTTGTAAGTCGTGGTACAACCCTCTCTCAACTCTTTAACTCCGAAACACGAAACTTGACAAGCAAGACCGCTGCGCGGAGAAATTAAGTTGAGCGCGGTACTTCCAGGGACGTGGTGGGAGTCGAACTCCGAACCTCTCGCTTACAAAGCGAGTGCTCTTACCACTACCGCACCACTACCGCAAGTTACCAAAAACATGCATAAATGGTGTGGCAAAATATCATATATTGTTTCAGACCTTTTAAAATGACTTGAAGATGAAAAGATAAATGTCTTAACAGCAACAATAAATAAACCAACAACAATATTCACATATGCACATCAATTCAGAAAAATCAATTAAAACCAAAAGAAATTGAAGTGGTAATGATGGCAAAAATTACAAATGAGTTTAATAACAAAAAAATAATTGAAAACAACATCGTTATAAATGGAGTTGCTGATCATACTACTTCGACATACTACATACAACAAACAAGTTAATGAAGAAAATGATAAACAAACCATTGAAACAATGCTAAAAGCAATTAAACCAGATTTTTCAATAACAAATGCAAAAAGAATAATTTCACTAACTAATAAAACTACAAGACCAGAAGGACCACTTGACCTCATCGTAATTGAATTGGAGAACAAAGAAACTCAAAATTTTATAGTCAAAATTCCAAAAAGTTAAAAGTAAAAGTTAGTATTAACTTCAAAAATATTTTTATTAATAAAGACAAAACAACAAACAAGAGATTGTTCGAAAGTGAGCTCAGAAAAGTTAGAAGTACTAGAAATGCAAGCTTGCTCAAGAGATATAGGGAACAAATAAGAGGCAACGATACAATGTGCACAATGGAAAAAAACATTATTGGGGTATACGATCAGGTGAACTCAAATGGATCAAAATTAAATCGGCATAATTTACATATAAAAAATAAAAGATCCTCTGTATTAAACTTGGGTATCCAAAATGTTCAATCTGCCATGAAAAAATCTGCTATCGTTCATGATATAGTGCAAAATCATTCTCTAGATATTTTTATACTCACTGAAACCTGGATAAAGTCGGACGACCCTACTGCAATTAAAGAAAATATGGCCCCACCAGGCTTTAAAACAATTCAATACTGCCAATCTGACCATCGCGGAGGAGGCGTTGCAATAATATATAGAGACAACTTAAATATCAAACCACTCTCATTATCATCTACCTGTCTGTCTTATGAACGTACATAAGCTAAACTAAATGCTATCTACAATGTTGTTGCTATTTATCGATCAAATCCAATCATTCCAACAAGCATTTTCTTTTACAAATTATCTCAACTTCTAGAGGAACTTCAAATATTATCTGGAGAAATTCTGTGCGGTGACTTTAACTGTCCAGGTACTACTCTAATAGCCTGCAATTTAAGACTTAATGAGATTTTAGAGACCTGTAACATGATACAACGAGTTCAATCTCTAACTCGGATATCATCTACTACTGGTATAGCCAACTTGCTTGATCTTGTAATAAATCGACATGATGATATTTCACTCAAGAGTATCCAAGTAACTGATGAGGATATTTAGATCACTATGTGATTCGGGTAGAACTTTATCATCAACATTTAATTACTAAAACTGTTTGGTTTTCAAAACGAAACTTTAGAAAACTAAACTTTTTATGCTTTATAAAAGAATTGCAAGTGATGCCATGTTGCTTATCACCTGAAAACAACATGGATGATTATGCTAAACAAATAAGATTAAGTATAACAACTGTTCTTGATCATTTAGCACCCATTCGAAAATATTCAATGCGAATTGGTAAACATGATGATAAATCGTTATCTTCAGATGCCAAGACTAAAAAAATCAGACTTCGTAAACTGAAGCGTTGTTATAGAAAAACTGGTAGTTTATCAGATAAAAAGTTATATCATACTGCATGCTGTGAAGCTGCAGCAGCAATTCACAAATCTAGATGTAGTCATTATAAGGCGAAACTAAATTCAGCATACGGTGATCAAAAAGAAACATCGCCAAGAAATTACTACATTCGAATAGTTATAAATCTAATAACACAATACCAGAAGCAAAATGCAATATAATAAGTCAATATTTCATACACAAACTCGAAATTATAAAAATCACTATCCAGGAAAGGCTTACAAAAACCCCAATATCTAAATTTATCTCAGAGTTATCTCCCCCTGTAGATATATTAACAACATTTGGTACAGTCACACCTACATATGTGTCGAAAATAATCAAAACTCTTAAACCTAAGAAATCACCACTTGATATTATTCCAACAGACATCCTTAAATCTTGTTCATATAAATCAATATTCAGTCCAATTATAGCTCACCTTGCTAACCTCTCATTCAAATCCAGAATTTTCCCAGCCTCATATAAAACTGCTCAAATAATACCAATTCCCTAAAAATCAGGACTAGCAGAATTTGACCTAACAAATCTACACCCCATATCAAATCTCAATACAATTTCGAAAATTATTGAAAAGCTTGTTTTATCTCGTCTTCATCCACACGTAACATCATCTGTCAACTTCAATCCTCTACAATCTGGTTTTAGATCTTATCACTCAATCGAAACAGTACTCTTAAAAATATGCAATTACATCCTGCTAAACATTGATGATGGTTTGACCACTATTCTCCTATCTCTAGACATATCTTCAGCATTTGATATAATCGATCACAGCCTGCTGATTACCCGTATTAAGAATGAATTTGGTGTCATAGATATTGCATTAAAATAGCTAACATCATACTTGCACTCTTGAAAATCTTTTGTTTCTATTGGATAATCAAATTCTAGACAAATAGCAAGTTCAACAGGAGTACCACAGGGTAGTATATTAGGCCCATTTCTATTTTCCATGTTTGTTTCACCTATATATCATATTATAGCTAAATTTGGTACAAATCATCATCAATATGCTGATGATACCCAGCTTTATACTTTCCTCAGCCCTTACAAAGATAGCATCAACAAAATCACTGAGTTTTTTAATGCAGTAACAACATGGGTTCTAGAAAATGGACTTCTGCTTAATTCAAATAAAACAGAAGGTATTTTATTTGGATCTAGAAAACAAACTAGCAAATATAAAAATGATTCGAGTATTGGATTTTCTGAAACCACAGTAACTACAATAAATTCAATAAAAATACTTGGAGTCACCCAAGATTTAAAGCTCTCTATGAACAAACACATAAGCAATATTATTAAATCCTGCAATTACCACATTCGTGCACTTCGCCACATTCGTCCATGTCTGACCAAAGAAGCTGCAAACATAATTGCTTGTGGCATCGTTAACTCTCAGCTTGACTATTGTAACAGCATTTTATCTGGCACTTATCAAAAAGATCTTAAAAAACTCTAACAAATTCAAAATAATTTATCTCGTATTTTTTTCCATTCTCCTTTCCACTTAAAATCAGAAATATTGCTGAAATCTCTTGATTGGTTACCAATACATCAAAGAATAATCTATAAAATATCAGTTATCACATAAAATTTTATTATCAAAATCTCCTGCATATTTATTTGAACTCTTAGAAGTCCGAGCTTCAAAACAAAATACAAGATCATTAGACAGTTGCCAACTTACATGTCGTCAACAAAAAACCTCCCTGGGCTCAAATGTATATGTATATATGTATATATATATATATATATATATATATATATATATATATATATATATATATATATATATATATATATATATATATATATATATATATATATATATATATATATATATAAAATAAAATGCGTTTAAAATAAAAGGAAACAAATAAATAAAATTGAGCTAGTTAATAAACTAAATAAACTTCATATTTGCGCCTATAGACCTATAGGAGTTTATAATCTATAGACCAAACAAGTAAGATCAAAGCAAAAAAACATTAGATACCACGTCTTTTATAAATTATCGTTTCCTGATCAAGCGTACTATTAAAAATTTAAGTATAATTATGTTTTATAAACTATAATTATGTTTTGTAAATTTAAGTATAATTATGTTTTATAAACTGTATACATCAAAACAAAACAGCTTCACAAATTTGTTATACATTATTCCAAGCTCATATTTTTAAAACAACTTTGCAGTTTGTTTTAATGTTGTTTTATAGCTTTTAACAATTAAATACATTTTAAAATTAACGCGTGTTTTAACGTCAGCATGAACATTTTAAAGAGTTTCCTTTGACTAATCAAAGTGGTTTAGATATTATAATGTTGCTTTTTCTCTTACTTTTTTACTTTTACTTTTTTAAGTATCATGTTAAGTAAAAATATACTTAAAAAAATATCTTAATTCTATTAAAAACGTTATTGTTTATTACAACAAACTTTTAATTATAACTTAAGTTGTAAATAATAACAGTAAGTTACGCTTTTTTTAATTTTTTTTCATTAATTCAAGCCCTGTAAAGATATATATATATATATATATATATATATATATATATATATATATATATATATATATATATATATATATATATATATATATATATATATATATATATATATATATATATATATATATATATATACACACACACACACATATATATATAGATATAGATATAGATATAGATATAAATATGAATATAAATATAGATAGATATAGATAAATTTTTTTTCATATAATACTTTAATATCACCAGTTTTTATAATAAATTTTTTTATTTTATTTACAGTTCATTTGTTTATAAAATACCTTTACATATATTTAAATATTAAAATATCATATTTAAGTATTTGAATATGTAAACAATTTTAGAAGAAAGCATGCAACAGAAAGTAATGCAACTTTGCACATGTTCAGTAAACTTTGCCATCATGTTAGAGTTGATAATCTTTCAAAAGATGATCTAGTTTTAGTAAGTTCTTTTAGTATTTTTTAAAATTGTAAATAAACATAATAATATTTGAATTTTTTTTTTTTTACATTTTAGTTCATCATTTTCAATTGAAATTTTTTTTTCTTCAAATTAACACTTTTTTTTTGAACCTTTTTTACCTGATTATTTTGTCTTTTCTCAAAAAGACATTTGATTTTGTCTCTTGTATTAGTGCCAAGATTATCATAACGATATTTGAAATCAATTGATATCTGATTTTTTAGGGTATAGCTTCTCCATGTTCTGGTAAAATGATGATCTGGAGAAAGTTTAATGATTATTCTAAGTAAACTTTCAAGCCAAATTCTTTAAAGTTATCTTTAAAGTTTTTTTTACAACATTTACAAATGAAAACAGTTAATTTAATATTATTTATTGATGTATAGGAAATAGAACCTTTAATACCTTTTTTTACCTGTCAAATTAGAGATCAATCAAAATGCCAGCTGCTAATTTTATATTGCTTAAAATTCAAATAGCTTTTAAATCAAAAACAATCTTTGTTTAATGCTTTCACAAACTGTTTTCTAGTCCATACCTTAATGTAAAGAGTAGTCTATATGGTTTTATTATGTAACACTAACTCTGCAGCTGTGTTTGCTATTCTACTTTCAGTTAATCCAATCTTTTTTAATCGTATATATTGCTTTACTTCTGTGATCCCAGTAATACCACAATTATCTTTTCAATATACAGTTTAGTTTTCTTTACTTTTTCTATAGGTAATTTATTGTCTATTTTTGAGACGAGAAGCCAAGTGTTCAGTTGGTTATCTAAACAAACTTATGTTGTTGAATCAATTGTAGTTGGTTATATGTTTAGAAATGCATAGATAATTTTATCACCTTTATTATCAGTATATCTATTAATATGAAATGTCTTTTGTTCTAGTGGTTCAACAAAAATATCAGGTAATTCCTTGAATACCAGGACAATAAAATCATTGTTATAAAGTACAGGTTTAAAATTGCAGTAAAAAGTTCCTCTAAGCATTATTTAAATTAATAAATTTATTTTAAGCATTATTAAAAATTTTTTTTTAAATTACTCCAAGGATTTTTTTTTTATAAATCATTTTCATTTGTTCCAAACAATTTATTTTTTATTTTTTTGTTATTTACTCCAAGCATCATTTGATAGAAAAACATTTATTTTTTCAATTACTTTAAACCTTTTTTAAAAAGTTTCCACTTAATCCAAACATTTAAAGAAATCAGTTCTACTATTTACTTTAAGTAATTTATTCCATAAATTATTCCTAATATTATTTTTTAAAAAAATTATTTTTTCTAGATAATCAAATTCAAATTTCCTGAACTTTCAATAGTTGCAGAAAAAATGGTAGACATTTATGCTATGGTATCGGTTGATGAGAGTTTGATTTCAGAAAGTGATGTTCAATGCAGTAGTTTAAAAATGAAAAGTACAACCAGAGATATTTTGAAATGGTGCTCTCGAATTGTATGCTCAAATAAAACATTTACCCATGAAGACATGTTTTTAAGTGCATTTCAGTGTTTTTGTTCATCTTTGTCACAGAACTATCAAGTCCAAGTTGCATTTTCTATAGGTGCAAAACTTGGTTTATGTAAAGAAAAAGTTGAGTATTATCTTCAAAATTATAAGCCTGTGTTAAACAAAAATGATGTTTTTTTTTGTGTTGGTTCTGGAACACTTTCTAGAAAAATTTCTTCACATTTTAAATTTAATTGTGTTCAACAAAGATTTGCTTTTACCAGGCATTCTTTGTGTCTTTTGGAAAATATTTTGCTTGGTGTATTGCACAATGAACCTCTTCTCATAGTGGGTGAAACAGGTTGTGGCAAGACATCTACTGTGCAATATTTAGCTGAGCAGACTGGTAGGAATGTAGTAGTTGTAAATATGAGTCAACATAGTGATATTACAGATTTACTTGGTGGTTTTAAACCAATAGATGCTAGGCAAATTTTAAAACCATTGAAATACCAATTTGAAGATCTTTTTAATAAGACTTTTCCTCAAGATAAAAATGCCAAGTTCCTAAACCATATTAATCAATGTTTTGAGCAAAAAAAATGGAGTAATCTACTGAAGTTAATGCAACACTGCTGTCAAAAAGCTTTTGAGAAGAATTTGAATAAAACAAGTTAGTAATAATTTTGTATCTTTTCTGACTTTTCTGACAATATTTATTTACTGATATTATTTCAAAACACGATTTAAAAAAAGAAAGATGGTTCCTAACTGGTATCATGTTTCTTAACTGCAAATTTATTACTTAAATTGATGAGCATCACGCCATTTTGAATTTTTTTTTTTTTTTGAGACTTTTTATTTATCTCAAAAAATCAAAAATTGCTACTGGCATCAAAGTATTTACTCTCTTGAAATATTTTCAAGAATATGCATTCATTTGAGCAAGCAATTACAAACTAGCATGCCTTAAAACCTGTAAATATAATCTAATACACACAAACCAGGGGGGGGGGGAAACTACTTTAGGACCAATTATATATAATTAGTGATGCAAAATTAGACAAACTCTAATTTTTTTAGTGAATTGAACAATCATGATTAATGCATCTGCACAAAAATTTTGTAAATGTGTATCAGATGTTTTTTTTTTTTTCAGTGTATAGTTTTATAGTGTTCTTTATTTTTACTTTAGATGTGGAGTGTATCAAAAAGGATATTGAAGACGATTCAAAGAAAAATTGGGAATCGCTCTTAAAACAAATTAGCAATGTACAAGAAAAAATAAAGACCCAACAAGCTTTAGTATTTGATTTTGTTGAAGGGGCATTAATTGAATGTTTAAAATCAGGAGATTGGTTATTGCTTGATGAAATTAATTTAGCTTCTCCTGAGACCTTGGAGTATTTAAGTGGGTTATTGGATAGCAAATCAGGTTCATTACTTGTCACAGAAAGAGGGTTTGTATTGTATTAATCTAATAATTTTTAATATACATTACACAGGTCAACAAAAAAAAATTTTTACTTGGTGCCGAGCAAAAAATTAGTTTTTTGTATAGTTTATATCCATTAAATTGTCAAAAAAAAAATTTATTCAAATGTACATCAACCTGGGTCTCAAAAGAAGCATATTTTCATAGAGATTTTAAAAATAATCTTTATTTGTAATAAAAATAAGTACTGTTTGTATTATTGCAGAGAAACATCGTGTTAAAATTTTTTAAACAGTCTTTAGCATTTTTTCACATAATGTGTTTGTCAATAACTTTTAAGGAAAAATATTTGTTTTCTAAAATTTCTATGAAAATATGCTTCTTTTGAGACCCAGGTTGACATACTTTTGAATAATATTTTTTTTTGACAATATTAGAGATTTTACCCCAAATACTAAAGATTTGAACCCAAATATCTTTACAACTTGATGTGATGGTGAAAAATGAGTTGCATATTTGAAATCAAAATGAGAAATGCTATACAAAAAACAAATTGTTTGTTCGGCATCAGAAATTTTATATATATATATATATATATATATATATATATATATATATATATATATATATATATATATATATATATATATATATATATATATATATATATATATATATATATATATATATATATAAAATTTCATATGCTATCAAACTTCAAGTTGTTAAGTTAGTTTATATTGGAAAAACAGGGATATAAAAGAAATTGAAAGACATCCAGATTTCAGATTTTTTGCATGTATGAATCCTGCAACTGATGTTGGAAAAAAGTCTTTACCTTATGGAATTCAAAATAGGTGATAAAGATAAATATTTTTGTAAATTGCTAAAATTTAATATTATATAGTTGTTGTAAATTTTCTTTGATGTTTTTTTATAGGTTTACTGAAATATATGTTGATGAAATCAAAGACTTATCAGATTTATTGACTTTAGTAGCTTATTATTTGCAAAACATGAATCTTTCAACTTCAATTCTATCTGGTATTGTAAAGTAAGTCTATAAAATAAATTTAGATTTTAATGGATTGGTTCAAAACCAACTTGTTCTTTTTTAAAATCACATTTAATGTTATACTTTATTTGGAATTTAATTTAACTTTGTTAAGTTAAATTAAATTCCAAATTAAGTTTTTTACAAGTTTGAATATGAATATTTGATGGATTTGAAGGTGGGTTGGAAAAAAGTTGGGTTGGCTACTATCTAAATTCATCAAATTCTTGATGATTGAATGATTGACTACTATCTTAATTCATTGGATTCAAATTATGTCAGATATCTAACAGATAGATATCTAACAGATCAGAGCTGTGTTTTTTTTCTTTATAATTATGGGGTTGTCCATAAATTATATCACACAATGTTTGACTGTTTTTGACCCTCTTTTCTCATTTTCACAACGTTGTAACTCTTTGGTAACAAGTCCTGTATGAGTCATCCAAAATCACAACCTCCTTCCCCTTACCCCCATAGTGTAACATAATTTATTGACAACCCCTAACTCAAGAAAAGACTTTGAATAAAACTTTTTTTTTTTCATAAAATTAAAATAGCATGTCATTTAAAATATCAACTTAAGTATTTGTAGTTTTTTAGTTTATATACAAATAGAGTATATGCACATGATGCAAGATGTTGTATATGATAGTTTGCCTCACAAGCTGCATTTTGTACTATGATAAATGACTTTTCTCAGCAAATATTCTTGCTTGTGGTATTTATTTAAACATCTGGTCTGATTAATGAATTTTTTTTCTGATTAATGAAGTTTTTTTTTCCTTAGTAAAACAAATTTAGTATTTTTTGAATAACTTGTGATACAAAATGCAAAGAATTCAAAACAAAATAAGAACAATGTGAAACAGTATTTTAAAATAATAATAATAATTTTATTTTTTTATGCTAAAAAAAAAAATTTTTTTAATGCTTCTTAAACAAATTAAAAACAACAACTTATTATTTTAACATCAACCAACATCTAAATAAATAACTATCAAAAACTTAAAAAAGTCCAACATCTAATTAAATAACTATCAAAAACTTAAAAAAGTCCAACATCTAATTAAATAACTATCAAAAACAAATATATTGATTAACTAACAACTTATTATTACGACAAGTAACATTACTAAAAAAAAAAAATGTGAAAAGGTAAAAAAAACTTGTACACAGTTAATTTATTTATATTTATTCATGTAACATTTTATTCTTATTTATTCATGTAACATTTTATTCACATAACATTTTAACAAGCATTCAGTACATTTAATTAATCTATTAGAGGACAACCAATTTTTTTTAAAATCTTTTTTTTTAGAATATGTGTTAGTTTTCAAATAAAATTTATACATAAAAGTTTTTTTTAATCACCACTTTTTGATTAGAAAATGTCTTGATACCCAAATTTTCACATCTAGACATGAAAGTAAAATTAAATTAAATTAGTATAAAATAGATATAACTCGTTTTTATGTCTTAGACTCTCATGAAAAGTGCAGTGCCGAATCAATTTTAAAATAGATTTTGACTTAGCTCTCCACCGTTTAAAATCTTTATAAGGTTTTTGTCTATTATTATTTAATTTGTTTCTATTTAATTGAGTTATTCATAAATTATGTCAAAAGCTACGACTAGACATATATCACTCGAATTTCACTAGAGTTTATTGGACCTGCAAAGAATTTTATTCTTAGTTGCCTACAAACAGAACAGTTATTCAAAAAGGAATTTAAAAAAAAAAATCTGTATATATATTAATATCAAGAAAATATTTCTCTTCTCAACAAAAACTCCAGTTAATGTTTACTTTACTTTAAAACAAGATGATGAAATTTGTTGTTGAAAGGCTTCTAATAGAAAAGTTAGGTCTTAGACATCTATGCTTTCCTTGTAACAAGATTTTTAGATTTTTAGAAGTCAAGAAATAACACTTATGCTTATAGGAAATACAGTTATAGCTAGCGTAAGGTGATTATATTTATTATTGTTTTATTGAGCAGCAAATGCAGCTTGGATGGATGGAGCAGCTTGGATGATGAGTTAATAAAAATATATGTAAACTAATTTTATTTTATAAGTTTTGGATTTCACCTGCCACAACTGCAGCAATTGCTCCAAGTTATCTCCAAGATTTAATTAAAGCAGGATTTCTCACCCTTAAATCCTCTTACCTTGCATGTGATCCTATTAAGTTGATGAGAACGAGGAAAAAAGATAATTCATGGATGCAAAGAAAAATGATAATTCAAAAGTTTTGAATGATATTGGTGTTTACTTTGGTAGAAGGAAAGAATAACAAGAGCAATGATAAATGATTCAAATGCACATTCTATTATTATCAAAGAGCAACACATTACCATGACTTTAGAACCTGGCAATTGATATCTTGATCATTTTACCCCGGATTCATCTATTTATCTATATAAGCCAGCTAAAAAGGTTGCCAAAGGTGTTTATTTTTTGCCTAAACAACAATCTTACTGAATCATGTTTAATACTTGGAGCAGATAATACTTCAATTAACATTGTCTGGATAGATAGTGTTATAGCGCATCTTCAAATGCTGTTAGGTCACAACAAACACTGTTAGGCCACTGGGTCATATGCATGGTTTATACTTATTGAATGAACCATCATTATTTTTTTTTAATAGTATTTTAATAGTGTTATCAAAATATCATTTGGGTAAGATAGGGGATAAACCACCTGTTTTTGTTGAAACCACATCACTAATACCATCTCTTTCTAATTTTTAAAACAAAATAAGAAAGTATGAAGAGCTAGAAAGTCTAAAGAACTTTTTATTCATTAAAACCTTATAAAAATTACATTCTTCCTCCGAAAAAAAGCGAAAAATCTGCACTGCAAATAGGATCTATGCAAAATATAAACTTTGAAACATGTATCATGAAACATGTATCAATTGTTGTTAAATATTGTTTGCATTTATTTTTTTGTAAATCACAATAACAAGCATATTTTTTTTAAAATTAGATTTTTTATATTTTTTAATTCCTAAAAGTGCAAATTTGGTTATCAAAACTTTGTCAGATCAAAAAAATATATAAGAAACCTTTTTTAAAATTTAATTTTGCAAAAGAAGACATCTTTTCCTTAGTTTTTTGACTGAAAAAAATGAGTCTGATCTTGAATTTGATCTCTCTTCTGTAACAGCTTTGGGTTTGCAGTGGTTTGTGAATTTTAATTCCAACAAAACTCAGTTATTTACTGCAAATAACTGAGCTTCAAATCACAGTATTGTTGACATTCCTATATTAATGAATACAGGAACTCCATCACTTTCAGACCTGGTCCAAAAGCACATTGTAAAAGTAGTTGAACCTGCTTTATCTGCCTAGCTTGAGCCACTCTTCCATTGTTGTAAGGTTGCATCTCTTTCTTTTTTCTACTTTCTTTTTTTGCGTGGCTTGTCATTCAGCAGTTGCATCCTTTAATTGTCTCCCTCCATGCTATAAAATTTTTTTTATCTAATTTATTTCCTTGCACATCAACAAAATCTAAGGCCTCATTGATTGGAAAAAATGTGAACTAAATGAACCTCCGATTATCACTTATATTTCATATGAAAATCTAATTAAAATATTAACCAAATGTTTATCTTCCAGATGTGCAGCATTTTCCATACCATACTCAAGGAGTATGGTATGGAAAACGCTATGAAATGTAACCGAAAGTTCAGATCAAGTTTGCTGTTTGACTGGTAGAAATGGCATCATTCGTGTAAGACTTGCATTGCGAAAAATTATGCCTTTATTCAACACAAGTCAGTTTGAGACAGATCCAAATGAATCAGATAGTTGAACTTTATTACAGCTAAATGTAAAACATTTTTAAAAAACATTTTCCATACTATTAATACTTTAATTGTACATTATGGACTGCTGAGCTTGTTTGCCAGAAACTCATGAAACAGTTTTTTTTTTTTAAAAACTCAACCCTCTAGCGGCAGCTGACGACTTTAAAATATTTTCTTAAAAACTCTAACCATTTCTAAATTAGTCATTGTTAAATGTTTAAACTCTATTGCAACTTAAGTATATACATAGAATTTGTTATTTTTAATTTGTAAAAAGGTCAGAAAATGTGTTTTTGTAAGAAAAATAAAACCATAGCGCAAACTGAAGACATAAAAATAATATTAAAAAATTTGGAACAATTACTTTTTATAGCATTATGCAACTTTTCCGCTCTATTGCAATTTCAAATTCAAAAAAGTTGTTTTTTGATACACCCTAATATATATCTAATATATATATATATATATATATAATATATATATACATATACAGGGCTTATTCTAGGAAAAAATGTTGGGTGGCGGTACCCCCTCATTTCAGCAGACTTACGCAGAAAATCAGCGGTTTTTTTTTTTTTTTTGCGAAAAAAAAACAACAATATTTGGAGTGAAAACGCAAAAAAAAAAAACGCAAAAAAAAAAAGAAAAGGTTAACATTTAAATGTTAACCATCTTTTTATTGTACCTTCTTGTTTTTTAAGAACATAATATGTATCTTTTTTCTTAGTTTGAAATAAAGAATCTTTTAATTTTTACCTTGTTATAAGAATTTAATTTTATAAATTTAGGTTTTACCAAATAATAAGAGTTAAAGCTCATGAGGTATTAGTTGATGGTGCGGGACAAAAACCACATTACAGGTATATGTTATGTTATTAATTTGATATCAAAAGATTTTATATAGATTAATTAATATTGTTTAAATAAAGAAAATGAATAAAATAAAGATTAGTAATAACAATAACTACAAAAAAAAAAAAAAAAAAAATCAAAATAATGAGAATAACTACAGTAACAATTGTTAACAACAGAATCATTGACAAAAAAACGACAACTACAAAAATATAAAAAATAATAGTATAAGTAATAATGAAACAATCATTCTAATATATTTAATAGTTTAAATATATAAATATGTATATGTATGTATATATATATATATATATATATACATATACATATGCATATACGTATACATATACATATCAAGCCTTGTTACGAGATTTCGCTGCGTAACGGAAAAGCGAAACGCGAATTAATGTAAATTTACTCAATAAAGATATTTACATTGTTAAAAGTTAAATTACGTCAGTTGCATTTTTACTTCATTGTAATTAAATTTAAAATGACATTAAAAACTATTGTTAGTCTTTGAAATGAAATAGCTTTAAATTAAACAATAATGTTATAAAAAAAAAACTAAAGTTTTAATGTTGATTAAAAAAAAGTATTCTTGTATTAAAATCTTATACTTATTTAAACTTAATTTTTTTGCTTTCAATTTTTTCATTCGTTTTATGGTTGTTTTTTTTTAAATATATTTTTTTAAATAATTTAAATTTAACACTTGTTTATGGTTGATTGATAAAGGGATTCAAATGTACTTACAACTAAACACATAGATTGGGTTTTCCCTTTTTTAAAAAAAATGTTTGCACTAACTGGTTTTGATAAAATAGTGTAAAGAAACGAAATTTACTGCTTTTCGGCTATGTTTTTTTTTTATTTCTATTACAATATTTTATTTTTATGTACAGTGAAACCTAATGTATTTTTATTATTTTTTTACTCAATCCAAAAAAAAAAAAAAAAAATAGTGTTTTCGGTTTTAAGATGTTAAAAGCAGAAATTGTTTTTAACAAATATCATTATAATTTTGAAATTTATGTATCTTATATTTATAGCTCTAGTACTAGTTTTGTTTTTAAAATAAAATAAATATAAGTTGGACTTTTAAAGAGTTTATTAACTGATCGCGTTATTTTTAATAGGTTTGAATTTTGGTTTGTTTTGTAAAAAAAATTCTTTGGCAAACAGCTAAGGGAACCCAAACATAACATTTATAACTCGAGTTTAAAAGAACTTTTTTGTATTGACGTTATTTATTAACTTGCAATTATAAAATGAATAATGCGCATCTGTAAATAATGAATGGAACTGTAAAATAATGGAAAAATAAAAACTGGAAAATAATGCGCTTTTGTTCAGCGCATTATTCAGACCAGTATTTGAAACTGGAACTTACCTTAAACTTAAATGAAATTAAAATAAAGTTATATGTAAACGAACATTATAAAGTAACTTAAATTAAATTTATTAAATCTTTTTTTACTTTGGAAATTTTATCATAAAAAAAAATTGTAAAATGGAGCATTTTAAAATTCAAAAATTTTTTTAAAATTAAATAAAATAATTTTAATTAAATTTAATAAATTTATTTACTATAAACTATGATTAATAAAAAAAGATTTAAATTTAATAAAATAAATTGGAAATATATATATATATTTTAATTTAAATGTTTTTAAACTCATGAAATATAAAACTTAATATTAAATATGATAAAAAGTTTTAACTTAAAACACTTATTTTTTTTAAAATAATTTTTAACAACAACAACAATAAAAATAATAAAACAAATTTTTCTTTAACAAAAAATCTATTAGTTTACAATTGCGGTTAAATCTTTTACTTACGACTTTATTTTCTTCTGAATAAACGTCACATAAACGATATCAAATGATAATTTAAATAATCTAAAAGATTAAAGTTTTTGCGTAACGCAAAACTGCTGAACGCGTAGGCAAATCGCCTTTTTGCTGGTAAAATGCGAGCTGGGTAACGATTCTTAACAAGGCCTGCATATATATATATATATATATATATATATATATATCCATTATATTTATATACATAAAAGATAATCCTATTTTTTTAATTTTTTTATTTAATAGTCTTCGAACTCTATGCAGAGCATTAAAGTTTACTGATTCTCAATCAAGCCTTCCACCATTAAGGGCAGTTTTTGAGGTAAATATGTATGTTGTAAAAATGTTAATTAAAAGGAAAAAATATCTCACAGTAGCATTTTATGCAAGCAATATTTTATTCACACGTTATGTGCATAAATTATTGTGGGCATTGTGGCTTGTTTAGAGTTGTTAAAATGAATGAAATAAAATAATAGGGAAATGGTAAAAATAGAATTAATAACAGTAATTATAATTAATAGTATTAATAAAAAAGAAAAAACTCTAATTCCCAGCATACAAAATTGCCACTAAGATTCTGGTTGAGTTAGCTATGCCATTCCTTGATTATTGAATATTTTCTGCACTTGCATTCCTGAGGCCAGACCAGAGAAGCCACATGTTATAAAAAACTTTTGACTGCACTTATTATTTATTTTTCTAATAATTATGTATTTTAAAAGTATATATATATATATATATATATATATATATATATATATATATATATATATATATATATATATATATATATATATATATATATATATATATATATATATATATATATATATATATATATATATATTAGGGTGGTTCTAAAAACAACTTTTTTTATAAATGACTGAACCTCTGAATATGTTGTATATAATAAAAAAATTCTGGATTTAAAAATTTTTGGAATAAAAATTATTTTATGGGGTTGCTACCGACCTTCAAACATTAAATAGGTCCCTAATATTATAAAAAAAAAGTTTTTCAAAAGTATGTCATGTTGGGTCTCAAACGAAGCGAAATTATATAAAAATCTCAAAAATATTAATCATTTTATAATTAATTTTTTATTTTAGATTTTAGTGAACAGAAAATTACATTTTTAAACTAAAAACGATTAATAGAGAAATTAACAAGATTATTTTATTATAATTTTTTTTTATCAATGTTTTTTTATAAAATGATTAATATTTTTGAAATTTTTATATAATTTTATATATATATATATATATATATATATATATATATATATATATATATATATATATATATATATATATATATATATATATATATATATATATATATATATATATATATATATATATATATATATATATATATATATATATATATATATATATATATATATATATATATATATATATATATATATATATATATATTGAAAATAATTTTTGTTAAAGGGATCCTCAACTGCTGAGACAAGTTGTGTTCATATTTAAAAATATGTTTAAAACAAATATTTAGGCTAAATTTTTTTAATTAAAACTATATAATAAATGCACACCATTAAATTTAAAATTCACATTTTAGTCAAAGCTCACCGCCTCCATTTTTTTTTTTTGGTTCTCGGAGTCTGTATAATGTTAGCTGCAATCTGCAGACTTGATAATTTATTCCATGCGTATTTAATTCATAACAGTTTGGTATATGACGTCAGCGTATAAATTTTTTCTTTCAAGATGTTGTATTATTTTCTTGCCAAAATCACCAAATCATCTTAATTGTATAACTTTTTACTACATCCCAAAAAAAGTTTATGATGCAATTAAAAATTATATTTGTAAAATTTATAAAAATAAAAATTTAATATATAGCAAATATTTACAGTAAACGTAGTTATATTTAAACTAAATATAAACTAGATACTAAAAGAATAATTTTACAAAAGCGTATAAATTAATTTAAAGTATAAACTGAAAAAAAAACAAGTGACTTGAATTAAACATATAAACTGAATTAAGAAGAAAATAAATATTAAACGACTTAATTTACTAATAACCATTCAAATCAAACTAAATTAAAGTTAAAACAAATATTTGTACTAAAATATACAAGAAAAAAAATTCGATAATAATAAAGTTTTTAACACACATCATTAAACATTAATTAATGCAAAGTGCTAAAATTATTGTTTTTGTAAGTAGTAACTAAGTCCAATACAAACCTCATTTAATAAAGAAAAATAACATTTTTTCTTCAAAATACTTTTGTAATTACTTAACTAAATACTTAACACTTTTACAAGTAAGTTTTATAGTGTTTATTTTATAACTAACTTGTTTATTTTATAACTAAATTTAAAGTTTTTTTGTAAAGGATTATTCAAGATTTTTTAACTTTGTGATAACTTTTTTATAATTACACAATTTAAAAATGTAGAGAATTAATTAAACCTCCTGAACAAACAAATTCTATGTGTCTAGAATGGAAATTTATGTACAAAACAAGATAAATTGTAAAACATACTCGAAAGCCACTACCAATGGTTTTTGGTAGTGAAAGAGTTAAACCATAACTAAATGTAAATTAAACATAAATCGAACATCTTTATTGAACCATATGAACTAAATAAAAAACAAAAAACCGCATCATACTGCCTTTATTTTTTCACTCCCTGCAAACTCTAATAATCAAAAAATATGTATAATTGTGTTATGATTTTGGCTGGCTTCTATAACAAAGTAATAATAAAAAAGTTATAAATATAAAAATATATATATAATATATATGTATAATTTTTTAAGTCACAAATATTTTTTGTGATTTAGTAAAAAATTATACAAATATTTGATTTTCTGATTTTAGTAGAAAAAAATACTTATATCTTTAAAAAAACAACAAAAAAACGCTATCTTAAAAAGATATTGCGATGACGTCATATTCCGAAACATATAAAATAAACACGCATTGAATAAATTATCAAGTCTGCAGATTGCAGACTTGATAATTTATTCAATGCGTGTATGTGTGAATGATAATTTATTCAATGTGTGATAATTTATTCAATGCATGTATATATATATATTTATATATTTATATATATATTTATATATATATTTATATATTTTTTTGTTAGTTGATAATCCATCCAGCTCCATGAATTTTCAATCGGGTTTAAGTCTGGTGATCGTGCTGGCCAAGGAATAAGTTGAATATTACTTTTAAGGAAATAATCAGTGATTGAATGCGTTTTTTGGCATGGAGCATTGTATTGTTGAAATAACCAGTTTTGATCAGCCTGGAACAAATCGCGATTAGGGATAAGCGCGTTTTCCAAAATGTCACAATACTCATATCTTCCTTCGTATATTTTATGACAGCCAATGCCTGAGCATGATATACATCCCCATATGCCGAGAGAACCACTGCCTTTTTGAATACGGCTTAATAGGTGTTGCTTCAAATATTTTTCTGTATTTTTGCGACGAACAAATCTTTTGTTTTTTCTGTTAATAATTTCGAAATTTGATTCATCACTAAAGATAATTATTTTCCATTGTTCTACTGAATAATTTAAACGCTCTTTGTACCATTTTTTTTGTCTTTGGCAGTCGGGTAATGTCAACAAAGGTTTTCCTACACAATGAAATAACTTTAATTCTTTCTTGCATAATAACTTACTTATAGTCATTCGACTAATTGTTCTGTCTACCAGCAAACTATTGATTTCTGCACTTAAAGTTGGTACTCCCGCTTTTGGGTTGCGTCTGCTTAGCATGTAAAGCAAGTTTTCATTGCGTGCTGTCAGCTTTTTCTGGCACCCAGTACAAGGTTTATCATTGACACTACCAGTTAATAGATAATTTTTTATTGTTGTACGAACGCTGAATTCAGAAATATTTAGGCGTCTGCCAATTTCTCTATTGCTTATTTTCATTTTATGCCTTCTAATGACTTGCCATTTTGTTATCGACGAAACAGCTTGTATCAGTTGAAAATTACTGGATTTTAAATCAAATCGTATTTGTGTATTTAAAATAAGAATAGTGATCCAAATAAAATATAGTTAACAGGCTGTTGAGTGATAAAAATGCAAAAGACTTCAATAAAAAATCTCTCAATAAACAAGTTTTACGTGTTTTCTTATCAAAGTGCGTTTGAATTTTATTTCAAAAAATTGAAAGGAGTTAATTTTCTCATATCTCTTCACCTCCGTTATAATATCAATACAATTTTTTTCTATCTAAACTAATAACTTATAGCCATAGTACAAATAAACATAAAAATACAGAGCATATCTCATTAATTTATTGGGTTATCATTTCTTAAATGTATTATATAAGTTAAAAAAACAAGTGCGTTTAAACTTTCTGTACAAGGTGTATATATATATATATATATATATATATATATATATATATATATATATATATATATATATATATATATATATATATATATATATATATATATATATTATATTATATACAGCTCAGACACTTTTAAGTCAAATGCTAAACCCAATTCTGAGAGGTTTATGAGTTATGTTATATCTCCCATCTTATGTTTCCATTAGGGGCATCCAAAAGCATTAGAGCTTCTATTAGAAGTTTCTTAATAAATTAATATAATCTAACTAATACCTTTTTTAATTCCATATTTAATTCCATTATTAAATACATATTTAACTCCATTATTAAACATTTTATTAGTCTTATCTCTATCAACTTCAAAGGACTGATTTGCATATTATTGCATTTTAAAATGTCAAAACTTTGATTATCAGTGTTATTATTTTTTAGTAATCAAATTTTTTACATAATCTCTTTAGTGATGATTTTAGTATAAGTTCTAGATATTCTTAGTTGTAGAATTCTTAGTGATGGTTTAGGTGTTAATTACATAAAGTCTCGATAATGTTCTTGTAAATAAATTTAATATTTCAGTATACAATAGTTCCAATAATTGTATTATAATTCCTGATAAAATAATATTTCAATTTAATATAATTTAGTTATAAATCCTTTTGTAAATACATTTATTATTTTAAAAGTAGTGTTTCCTCATTTGTGTGCTTTTCTTTTTTGCAATTTTTTTTTATTTATTTAGGGGATTTGTTTGAGTTTTTTGACTCAATTGGACAGACCTTCCTATTCAATTGTAGAGCAATTAATAAAATCAGTCATTTTTGGTGAAATAAAAAATATTAACAACATTTTAAATTTACCACTACCAAAGCCTGTAGGTATGGAAACAATTAATGTTCAAGGTTATTGGTTAAAGACTGGGAAAGATTCACAAACAGAAAATACTAGTTATGTAATTACTGATAGTGTGAAACGTAATTTAAAAGATTTAGCACGTGTTGTCAGTGGAGGGTAATTTTATATTTCGAAAATCTTTTTAATTATGATAATTTTTTTTTCATGATATTTTTAAGAGTATTTTTACTTGTTCCATTTTACAAATATTTTTTTACCAGCTCCAATTAACTGTTGTTATTATTATTATTATTATTGTTATTTCTAAATATTTGAATTGATTTTTATACTGCTGATGAGTAAATAATGTAAATAATAATAAAAAATAATAATAATTTAGATCACTTCCAATCTTAATTCAAGGAGAGACATCTGTGGGAAAAACAAGTTTAATTGCTTATTTAGCACAATTAACAAGAAATCATTGTGTAAGAATAAACAACCATGAACATGCAGATATTCAAGAATATATAGGATCTTATGGTGCAGATGACACTGGAAATCTTGTGTTTAAAGAAGGTTTAGTTTTGTACTAATAATTTACTCTTAGGTGAAAGCTCAAAATTTTGCTTTGATACTATATTTATAATAATATATATTTTAAAAGATTTTTAATAATTTTTTATAGTATCTAAAATAACTAGATTGTTAAACAAATTGTCTCATCAATAGTTCTTACAACAAACTTAAAAATTCTTCAAAATTAATTATAAAATGTAAAATTATAAATATGAAATTATAAAATATTAAATTAGGATATTGAATAAGAGAAAAAAATAAATAAATAAATTAGTTGTGATTTTTTATAAAAGATTGTATAAAAATCAAAGTATAACTTGAATCTGAGATTACTATTAAATGCTTTTCCTCAACTCAGTCACTTTCCTCTAAACTAGGAATTAAATTAAAAAAAAAAAAAAAATTTTTTTTAAATTTTAATTAAATCAATTTATTTGAAAATTGGCAAACTCAATATAATATACCTGTTGCAGATCAATACAGAAAAATATTTGAAATTGACTATTTAGGTTTGATTTGAAAATAACCTAAATATTTTATTGATTCTATTCAAGAAATATTTAGAGTAAATAAATCTGTAAAAGTTCAAATCATGCAGAAAGCATATTTTTAGAAAGAGTATTTAAAGTGGCGGATCTACGAAATTTTCTTGTGTAAATAATTGAAAAAAGTTTCATACAGTTCAAAAGTTATGACCATAAAACAATAAAAACCCTCAATAATAAACCAATTCTTTAAAACCTGCTCATAAAGATATGATATAATTACAAATGTGATTTACAAAACCTATGGAATGTTAAAAGCTGCTCTTAGAACTTCAGAAAGCGCTTATGCCATAATTGCACATCAAGTCAGGCTTCATCAAACAAAGTCCTTTGACAAGGAGTCAGTAACTTTTAAGTACTTTTAAATCTCTTTTCTGAATCTGATTGTAGCTAAGTCCACAAGAGTTTTATTGTTAGACTACAGTTTAAGACCATTATATAATGTAATTGCAATTGTTATTTTTTACCAAATGAGCAAAAATAAAAAATTAAAAGTTTCACCCTCTGTCTCATTACAAAAGGATATTTCTATGCACGATGATCATAAAATCGAATTTGTGCTGAATATAGTTGTTTTTCCTCAGTCCATTAGGCATAAGCTATTGAGATATAACACTTTAAATCCAAGGGCAAAAACTGTGTTACATTGTATAATCAAAAACTGTGTCACATTGTTTAATCAAAAACTGTCACGTTGTGTAATCAAAGTAATCACACATTCTGTAATCAAAAACTGTCACATTGTGTAATCAAAGTGGTTTTGTACCTTCTAAATCATGTATAACCAACTTACTTGAAACAATCAATTAAATAACAAACCATCTAAACAATAAGGCTTCAGTAGATGTTGTATATTTTGACTTAGCAAAAGCCTTTGATAAAGTTTCACACCTAAAACTAATGCACAAGATAAAAAATTATGGCTTTTTGAAAAAAAATGGTTAAATGGCTTCACAGTTTCTTTTCTAATAGAAGACAAAGGGTGTTTTGGGTCAGCTTACATCCGAGTGGAGAGAAGTCTTAGGTGGTGTCCCTCAAGGTTCACTTTTAGGACCTATTCTATTTGTTATATATTAATGACTTACAAGACACACTAAAATTTCCATTAAAGCTATATGTTGATGATAGCAAATTAATTGCTTCAATAAACAACGAATCAGAAAGATCAAAGCTTCAAGATGATATTATATCTATGCAACAATGGACAGACCTATGGTGTATGTGTTTCAATGAAAAAAAATGTAAAGTTTTGCATTTTGGAGTAAAAAACAAAAAATTCAAATATCACATGATAAATATGATTAATAATAATGAACATATACTACTACAAGAAACAGAACTAGAAAAAGATCTGGGTATTATAATTACAAATAAATTAAAATCAAGTCATAAAAGCAGCAAATAATGCAATCCAGATTTTGGGAATGGTTTATAAAGCTTTTAGAAATTTTGATGTCTGCACTATGAAAGTATTATATGCATCACTTGTAAGACCACATTTAGACTATGCTGTCTCAGTTTGGAATCTCAACCAACAACAAGATATAGATCATTTGGAAAAAGTTCAAAAAAGAGTGACAAAAATGGTCTATAATATAAAAACAGTCTTAAAGTTTTTAACTTAGAATCATTAGAGAAAAGAAGAATTGGTGGAGACCTTATACAAATGTATAGAATAGTGTATGGTTACGATCAAATTTCATAATAAAAACCAATAAATTGTATAACCAATAAAATATTAGATTAAAAAAAAAGCAGAAATCACAACTACAGATTCTCAAGAGAATACACTCCAAAATGTAACGCAAGACATAACTTTTTCTTAAATCGAGTTTGTAACAATTGGAACAATTTAGATCATGAAACTGTTAATGTGAAGACTCTTTTAAAAACAATATTAATAAAAGATTACATAATTTTAACTGTTATAAAGTAATCTCTTATGTGATTACTTTCCGTGTAATTTTGACAGTTTTATAAGAATACCAGCAGATACCTTCAGATATATTTTTTCAAATATTTGTGAATAAATTTTTTTGGTAATTTGAGATATTTTTATTTCAATAGGAATGTGAATTATAATGAGTTTAAATGTTTTATATTTTTAAACATTTACAAAATTTTATATTTTTCTCTTATTCTTTTTTTTTGTTGTTAAGTTTATTAACTGTTTATCTATTTTATTTATGTAATTTGTTAATGTACTTCATGATTTATTAAAAGGAATTTTGGTAACTGCTATGAGAAAAGGCTATTGGATAATCCTTGATGAACTAAATCTTGCACCAACTGATGTCCTGGAAGCTTTAAATCGAGTATAATACTTTCTATTTTTACATTTTTATTTTATTTCTCTTTTTGTCGATATTTTTGTTTGATTTCATTTTCTTTATTTATAGGAACTTTATTATAGGAAGCGATTGGAATTAAAAATTGACCAGGGTCGGGTTTGATAAAGTATATCCTGGGCTGAGTTTGATAAAATATAGCCGGAGCTGGGGCCAGGTTTGTGACCAGGGCTGCATAAACATTTATACATCCTAAAAAAAATCTTTTTTAAATATAAAATTCATGTTGTATTTTATATAATAGTAAAAAAAATGGAATTACAATTTAAACTGGTAATTGTTAAATATTAGGTTATTAAATTATTTAAAGGTAAAGGTAAAGTTAATTATTAGGTATTGAGAAGTTCTAAAAGATTTTGCTTACGTCAAAAATCTATCTATAAATGTATGGAGAAAATATGTAAACAATGAGATATAACTCTTCAAGAGTGATAAAAATCCTTATTGATAGAGACCAAGATCAATTCAGTATTTTTTTTTTTTTTTTTTTTTACAATAGTAAATTTAATTAAAAATATTATTCTGGTACATTTACCAGATACTTTTCTGGTACATCTACCAGATACTTCTCTGGTACATCTACCAGATACTTTTGTAAAGAAAAATTAAAGGTGCAATGAACTTCGAGCAGCCGTTGTGCAGTGGTAGCGCACTTGCCTCAGAAACAAAGGATCCGTGGTTCAAACCCCACCTCTGGGCAAGTTTTGCGATATCGGTTAGGAAGGAGGCGTGAACTTCCAATTAAATGCTCATCCGCGGTGCTCTGTAATAAGACTGTAAGGACTTCTTGGGGCATCTCAATAAAAAAAATTTAAAAAAAAACTTTAACTTATTTAAAAGCAGTAAAAATGGAGCTTAACAAGTTCACCTAGCCCTAAAGTCTTAAAAGTTTTTAAAGTTTTAAATATTCAATTTTGTTAAGTATACCTAAATTAAAACATTTATTTCACAATTCAATTTAATTGAGTTTCATTTTACTTTCTGTTGTTATCATTTTGTGATTTTTTGTGATACAGAGAGGCACTAAAAGAATATGACACAAGTGACTTTTTTTTATATTTTACATATGTGGCTTTTTAATTTTTTTTGCATAATTATAAGTTTTTAAAAAGGTAAGAGTTAATGAAAGTTTTGAAATATTTTCAAAGAAGTTGAAGTTAAAATGTTTGACATTTTGAAAAATTAATTTCATTATTATAATAAAGTTTTATAATCTGACAAAAAGTATTAACTTTATAGCTGCTCGATGATAACAGAGAGCTGTATATTGCTGAGACGCAGGAAGTTGTTAAAGCTCACCCACAATTTATGTTATTTGCAACTCAAAATCCTCCTAACAACTATGGTGGAAGAAAGGTAGTTATTATTATTTATCAATTTTCTGTTTGTAAATAATCTGATATTTCAAAGAGTTTTAATGCTTTTAAAAATTAAAATAATTAAAAAGGAAATGGTAAATTTTATAATAATAAATATTTTATTATAATAGAAATTTTGCATTTCTGTTATAAATGTATATATATATGAAATATTTTCTAGATTTTATCGCGCGCTTTTCGTAATCGCTTTATTGAATTACATTTTGATGAGATTCCTCGTCAGGAACTAGAAGAAATTCTTCATATTAGATGTCACCTTCCTGTATCTTATTGCAAAAAGTTTGTCAAGGTTATGTATGATTTACAGGTATGTAGTTTTAATAAATAGTGAAGGTCATTTGATTTGTTGTTGAATGATGACGATAACTTTCATTTCACTTTTATTTAGCTGAGGAGAACAAGTTCTGGTATATTTGCTGGTAAAAATAGTTTTATGACTTTAAGAGATCTATTTCGATGGGCTGAACGTTATAGAATGTCAAATATAACTCAAGGTTTTTATGATTGGGAACAATGCATATGTGAAGATGGTATAAGTTGTTCTTTTTTACTATTTTTGATTTTATTTTGATCACTAAAGAAATTCTAAAGTAAAAATTAAGAAGTTTAGGATCATAAAGAAGGATGAGAAAAATTATTTTCTAAAAATTCACATTTTAAAACTGTTTTATTTTTGACATAAAATTTACTAGTTATGACTGTTCCCCTAACTTCATTTGGTATGCATAGATTTTTTTTTTAATTTTATTTTGAAGAGGTGAACTATGATAATGGATTCATTTATGTAGATGGCCGTATTTTTGCTGATGTCTAAATTGGTCATTTACAACTTGTTCAATATTTTCAAAAACAATGCTCAATTTTTAAGTTTATTTTTGTGTGACTGTGTAGGTTGTTTTTTATTGTTATTTGTTGGAATGATTGCTGACAAAAGCAGTTTTTGTAATAAACATTTGCTATCTTGAACATTATTACTAACTTGACAATCGCTATATATATTATTTTTGTGTGACTGTGTAGGTTGTTTTTTATTGTTATTTGTTGGAATGATTGCTGACAAAAGCAGTTTTTGTAATAAACATTTGCTATCTTGAACATTATTACTAACTTGACAATCGCTATATATTGACACCATTCCTTGATAATTGTTTGAAACAATTCCTATGATGTCATTGTTGAATGATATGTTGACACAATTCCTATGAAGTCGTTGTTGAATGACATGTTAAAATCTAGAGTTATCTGTACTGTGCATTGAAAATGTCTTCTTTTTTTTAACATTTTTAAAATTATTGTCTAACATTTTGCATTTTTAATGTTGAAAAGACCTTAAAGTGCTGACACCTATTATTTTAAGATGGAATTAGATAATATAAAATTAATTTGAACAAAATTATTTTTACCTAACTAATGTTAAAACAATTTAATCACATATATCAAATACAAAGAAAAGTTCTTTTCTTTTTAAAGTCTCTTGTTTATTATATATTTTAACAATATAAATTGTTTAATATTATTTATTTAAAATAAATTGTTTAATATAATGTTATCTACAATAAGTATAAGAATTAGTATAATTAATTACCTTCATATATTTTTTATTGAAAGGATTCCTCTTAATTGCTGGTCGATGTAGAAAACCTCAAGAACAAATTCTCATTAAAGAAGTTTTAGAAGAAAACTTTAAAAAGAGTTTAAATCTTGAACAAATATTTTCTGGGAAGTCTTTATCTTCAACTCATGTTTGGGAGCAGGTAAAATAATTTTAATTTATTCAAAATACTTTGCAAAGTTCAAAAATATTTTTGAATGAAATAAAACCTGATTTTTTTGAATGTTTTTTTGTTTTTTTATTTTTAGTTATGAATAAGAATAAATGTTAAACTTAAAAGGTTTATTTTTAAAATGGTCTTATGCTTATTTTTAAAATGGTCTTATACTTAGATTTCAAGAAATTTATCAGTCGAGTTTCAGCATGTTGTTTGGACTGACAGCATGAAGCGTTTAGGAGTACTAGTTGGAAGAGCTCTTCAGTTTGGTGAAGCTGTTTTATTAGTTGGAGAGACTGGGTTTGAAATTTTAAAATTTTTTTTTCATATTATAAAGTTTTATTTATTTGTTCATTCAATATTTATTGGGAAAGAATATAATGTGTGTGGTGAAAGTAGCATAAGTTTTAAAGTATAAACACCTTGAATATTCAATATCTCATAAAGAAGTCATAAATATGTCTCTTCTTGACAGATTTTCATTCGAAAACTTATTGATTTATTTTATAGTAATTTAATAGAGGTCTATTTGGGTTTTTTTTGATTTTCAAACTTCAAACACATGATTGTATATTGCTCGTAATAGTTTAAGAGTATGTTATGTTCATACACCACAAAAATATTTTTAAAAAAGGTGGTTGATGTTTAAATCATAATAATAGATTTAGAACTAGGCAGCCATGGCGCAGTGGCAGAGTTCTGGCTCAGAACCTAGAAATCCGAGGTTCGACGCCAGCTCTAGCCCAACAAGCGATATTGGTACGGAAGAAGGCGTGAACTTCCTGTTAAATGCTCTCCCACGGTGCTCTGTGATAAGACTGTAAGGACCTCTAGGAGCACCTAAAATATCTACAAAAAAAAAAAAAAAAAAAAAAAGAACTGTAATTTTAAAATCATTAAAATATCAATTATATTTTTTATGTTTATTATATTGTTTTATATATAATATTATTCAGATGTGGAAAAACAACAATATGTCAAATGTTAGCAAATATATCGAACCAAAAATTGTATTCAGTTAATTGCCACATGCACACTGAATCTTCAGATTTCCTTGGTGGTCTTCGTCCTGTTCGTAATAAGGTTTTGTTTATATTTATATTTAAAAGCTAAAAAGTTAGAACCAGTTTTTTAATACCTTATTAACTTATTTTAATTTTGATTAACTTATTTTAGGAGGAGGGAGATCAAAAACTTTTTGAATGGTGCGATGGACCATTAATAAACTCTATGGAAGAAGGTGCTATGTTCCTAATTGATGAAATCTCACTTGCTGATGATTCCGTATTAGAACGTCTTAATAGTGTTTTGGAAACTGATCGTGTGTTAGTTCTTGCAGAAAAAGGTGAATCAGATATTGATAATCAAAGTTTGTATGTAGTAAAGGCTGCTGAAAAGTTTCGTTTAGTTGCTACTATGAATCCTGGCGGAGATTTTGGAAAGAAAGAGGTATGTTGTATAACTATTTGAAGTGAAATTTCAAAATTAAACAGTGAAAGTTTCAAAATTATGTAAAAGAGTTCAGTTCTCCTAGAAAACCCCCTCAACCCTACTATTTTGTACTAAACAACATTGTTTCTATTCAGTTCTCCTAGAAACTCCCCTCAACCGCCAACCCTACTATTTTGTACTAAACAACATCGTTTCTATTCAAGAAAAAATATTGTAATCCGTAAATGATTTTTTTACAATGTTTTTATATTTTGCCATATTTGTCATATAGTTAAATTATAGTTATCAAATGTTAAAGTTTAAAGTTAAATTTGTTACATTATTTAAGTAGAATTAGTACATTAAATTACTTATACAATAAAATATAATATATTCTCATCGCTGCTGCATATGCAGTTATGATGCAGTTGTAAAGTATTTTCTTTGTAAGCAAGTGGTACTGATTTCCAGCTACACGGTAGTACCAGTACTTAATTTATTATTCCGCACAGTAGCATTTTTTATTCATTTTTTGTTGTTTGTAATTTAACTGTTGAAAATGGACAACAACGTTTTGAATTTTTATGGTTGTTGATTTTTAATATTGTTTTGTTACAATTTGTATCATAATGAATTAAATCAACTTAAACTCAGCTAAAATTTGTATAATTTTATGTTTCAAATTTGTTTCGAGAGTCTCTTAAAAAAGTTAAAAAGAATGTTGGGACCAAGAGTAATTGAGTACAGACAAGTAGACTGAATACAAATGTTTTACAACTGGCTCTTAATTACAAAACCTAAGATTAGGGTTAAATCATTTTATTTTACCTCTGTTTCTCTGGGCAGGTCTTTGATGTTGACATCGTAACATTAAGATTTCAAAAGCTATTTTTATTGTTAAATTAAAATTAACTATTGCTAATTATTACAGATGAAATGGGTCAGGGTAGCAACATCAGATTTGCCATATCTAATATCTGTCCAACAATATCTGTAAACTGAGGTACAATAACAACTGTTCAACAACATCTAAAATTTAATTGATGCCTAATAACATCTGTGTAAAAAGTATATGATTACTACAGATGTAGTTACATCTTTTCAATTATCTAAATATAGCAACATCTGTGTCATTGAATTTCCATATGATATTGGATAGATGTTGTTTGAGTAAAAAAAAAATACAGATGATATTTGACTACTCTACAGATGTTGTTGGACAAATCTAATCTTTTACCGATGAAATTACATAAGGATTATTACATATATCTGTTATTTTGACAACATAAGAGATCTGAAAATTATGGTAACCATTGAAAAAAAATTTGCGAAACAATGCTTGAAAATAGAGGGTGCCATAAATTAAGACAGGATTAGATGTTTGAAAGTCACATCATCAAATTAGATGTTTGAAAGTCATGTGACTAATACAAAATTGATTTATGGACCAATAAAAGAAAGCAAGGTCTCAAGCAAAATGTAACTCTAGCTACTTGTGAGTGAATTGACTTCTTTAATTTATCACATGAAAATTAGAAATAATGGTATTTAATATAACTTCTGTTATTAATAAAATTATTAATTCTATTAAGTAATAAAATTATATTCTTGATGGTATTCAAATAAGGAGGAGATTTTTAGTTTTTACCTAAATTATTTTTTGTGTAATGTATTAAAATAATAAAACATAGTAGAATAATATTTCATAATACATAATACATAATATTTAATAAAACATTTATTATGGAAAGTTAAAATTTTTACAATATTAACAATATTTTATTATTTAATATATTCATCTAGAGCTTTATAATTTTTAAACAAAAGACTAAAAATTAATAGATTTTGGAAAGAAAAAAAAAAAAAATTAAAATCAAAAAATTAAATTGTTTTGATAATTTATTTGATTTTGATTTATGCAATTGGATTTTTTTTAAACTTTTATTAAAGTTTTATAAAATAGTATTTGTTTTTTCAGCTTTCTCCTGCTTTACGAAATCGTTTTACAGAAATTTGGTGTCCATCATCAGACAGTAATAAAGATATTATTATGATAATCGAACATAACATAAAGAAAGGGGTTCATTTAAAGTCATATGATGAAAGTAAGTCTAATATTAATTATTCTTATCTAGGTATGAGAGTAGGTAATAACTAACTGAAATTCTGTTATTTTTTTCAATTTTTCAATTTCTGGTACTTTAATTTCAGTAACTTTTAGTTTGTATTGTATGGTAATAAAATTTTTATGCTCTAGTAACAATTGTCAGGCATATATCAAATATTAAGCAAAAAAAAACTGTTAAAAAACTGTATTGCAGAATTAAAAGAATTGCAGAAAAAAAAATTAAATAAAAACAAAAAAAACACGCAGATTAATCTCAAACTTAATTTTTTAATAATTTAAACAAATAAAAAAACTTAAAGTAAAAAATAGATTTAAATAGTGGCTACCCCATAGCAAAAACATATTACAAAAACATAACACATTTTGCTATGTTTTTCATTTTCTAAATCTTTTTCTTGTTTTCTCTTTTGCATTTTCCAACCTTCTTGCATTTTCTAATCTTATTTATAAATCTAGTTTTATTGTTTTGCATAAGTTATATTTTAGTTTTATCAAACAATTATTTAGCTTCAGGATTTGGATATGCAATTGTGAAGTTTATAAGTTGGTTAAAAAATACTGATTTTGGTGTAAAGTAAGTTTTTTGCTTTTACCTTTGAAGTAAGTAAAGTTTGTACCAAATGTTTTTTAATAAAAAAAAAGGTTTGCTGCATAATACAATTTATTTTAGTTTTATTGTTTTTCTTTGTGTTTTCACGTTTTTGTATTTAATTTTATTTTTGTTTGTTTTATTTGTATATGAAATTAATATAGTCTTATTATTCTTGTTTAAACTTCATCCACTCGAAGGCGTGTGAAATTGTAGACTTGTTATGCAATTTTATTTGTGAGGTATTCCATGAGAAAGTGTCTCAGATTTTCTTCATATTGCATAAAAATGGTCACATACATCACATGCCTTTCAAAATTTCACCACTTTCAAATGGATTTTGTTACTTTAAAACCACCTATTTTTAGAGGTTCTGTTTGTTTTTATATAAAGTCTCTAAAAATAGGTTCTAAGAAAAATCTAAGAAAATCTAAAGAGAATCTAAAGAAAAATCTAAGAAAAGAATGGGATTTCTCTTATTATCATATCAGCAGAATGGAATTCTTATCATATTTTGGGATTATTTTTATCTCTTATCACATTAGCAGAATGGGATTTCTTCTACCATTCTTGGTCAGGGACAACCTTTGTTTAGATTATAATTATAATACCACTTTTGTTTAGATAATAATTTTATAGATGAGTATAGTTTGTATCACCTGTATAATTTTAAAGGATTCAGAATATGATGCTTATATTCCACGAGGATTATGGAAATAAAATAGACACTTTATTTCAACTTTCTGTCAAATTATAATAAATGCAGAACGGAGGATTTATATTTTTTCTTGTTTTCTTTTTATTAAAAAATAAATACTATAACGAGTGTTGTACAAAGTTAAAATAAAAATTTTTTGTGAAAAGATAGAACTGTATCAAAAAACAATTAAAGGATAATATTATAAATATATGCTTATAATTCCTTTTTTAATTGACAAAGAAAACTCATTTCATTTATTTCTTAAAAATTTTTTAAGAAATAAATGAAATGAGTTTTAATTCAAAAAAAAATAAATTTTGCTTCCTTTTTAATTACATATTTAGTGAGATTTACTAAAACAGAAAAAACAATTGATGTTAAAACACAAAATTTACATCAATTTACAAAAAAGATCTGGGGCCTATCAAAAATAAATCTTAATTGTAAAATCTGTTTTCATCACGAGCATCTTATAATTAATCCCTTTGATAATTCCCAAAATAAAATTTTTCTCAAAAGTTTCTAAATTATATAACTTAACTGTAAGTTAAATAACCTCTGTTTTCTTAAAGAATCAAAAACTTGTATTCAGTTAATTTTTTAGGGTATTAAATATTTTATCATTACAAATAATTAGTTTCATGTTTTAGCTATTAGCTATTAACAATGGATTTTTATAATGAAAGTTTTCAAAGTAAGTAATTTCTTATGCTTAAATATATTTAGATAATATGAAATATAACAAAATATAGGTGTGTTTTTTTATTGAAGTTTGTTTGATTATTTTGAAACTTTGAAAAAAATCCACCTCTAAATTTTGCACACAATTTTTAAATTATGTATCTTAATTTATGAAAACAGTTTTTTATCAGAATATAATGCTTGCAATGCCTTCGTTCTGTCTTATATTTTTTAAGATAGACTTAAGGTAAAGTACAATTCCTATTCTGATTTCGTTCATTTTTATAGGAAATAATCATATTCTCATTCTTCATCTTCAAAATTGGTGATCAATTGTGTACTACAATTGTTGTATACCCATTAATAAAAAAACAACAGTAAAATCAAAATGGGTATGGGATGTAGGAGCTATTTTTAAAATGTATGAAGAAAATTAAAGTTAGTCGTTTACATGTCCGTACCATTCTCTTGTTACTCTCTATTTTTAGAATAACTTTTTCAGATTTTATTTCTTTCTTCAGATAATTTGTGCAGTTTCTTTTTATTTAATAAAAAAAAAGATCAAAAGAATTATTTCTTTTTATTTAATAAAAAAAAAAATCATTGACGATACTTATGATAATGACAAAAATGATGGTGATGGGGGTGATGATTATGACTATGATGACAATAATAATGGTGATGACAACAATGATAATAATAAAAAAATGTAATTAAAAACATAGTCTACAAGTTTATAAATATTATAAATTAAAAAAATTTAGTTTTTAAATATATTTAGATTAACTGTTAGCATTCGAGATATCTTATCTTGGGTGCAATTTATTAATATCAGCTGTAAAGGTTTACATGATAGTGGACAATTTTTATACCATCTCTCACCAGAAGAAGCATTTGTTCATGGTGCTTGTTTAGTATTTGTTGATTCTATTGGTGCCTGTTCTTCTATTCAGCTTATGTTTGCAGCTGAAGCAAAAAAAATTGCTTTATCATATTTATGTAATGAAGTTGGAATTTGTGAGTTCCAAAACAGTACAACTTACACTGTGTTGCAAGATAAATGGTTTGGAATTCATCCATTCTTTATTGAAAAAGGTGTTACCTTACTTTCAATAACAATGTTCAGGTTTAGTTTTATTTTCAAAAATCTCAAACAGTTTTTTGTTTTATAAAATACTTTTTAGGTAACTGTCCATTACCAATTACTAATCACTATAGCTTGGATGCACACACTACACAAAAAAGTGCAGTAAGTTTGTTGAGAGCAATGCAATTATCACAACCAATTTTGCTAGAAGGATCTCCTGGAGTTGGGAAGACAAGTCTTGTTATGACAATAGCAAAATTGTCTTGTCACAATATAACAAGAATAAATCTATCAGAAGAAACAGTTTGTTATTTACTATTTTATTTGCTTAATAAAATTTCTTATTTGCTTAAGTTGATGACGTTGCATTAAAGAAACTAAAAGTTTTTAATTTTTTTCAGAAGATAGAAAAAAATTAAAAACTTTTAGTTTGATTGACTCTAAATAATGAAAATTAACTAAAATGAAATTAAAACAATACAAAAACAGATTCTGATCAAATATTTTTAAGCATTGTTAGTTTTTTTTCCATTTTTTTTTTCTCCCAAAAGCCTTTTATATATTATAATATTTTTAGAGTTTTAAAATGTTTTTAGAAAATTATGTTCCCTTTTGTAAAACTCTAATGATTTCAATTATTTAATTTAACTTCATTCGTGTGGTAACTGTAATATTACAATTTATCTAAAGTATTCTACAGTGTTATTTACATAATATTATGTTCCTGACAGTGATTGACATCCAATCACTGTGGTGCTCATAGTATGTTTAACATTGTTGTTTGTACTCTTTCAGTAGCTGGCAAAACCAAAAATAAAACACTACATTAAAAGTTTTTTTTTTTTTTTTTTATTTTTTTTTTTTGAAAAACAACTTGAATAACAAGTTTATTATCGTTTATTACTATTATTATCGTTTATCGTTATATTTATCGTTTACTACTGACCTTTATTATCGTTTTACTACTGACCTTTCATGGAAACCATATATACAATCGATTGCTAAATTAGCTTCTGCTAAGGTTGCTTCTTTTTATCGTGCTCGCCATTTCCTTACTTCTGATTCCATTCTCTACCTCTACAAATCTCTTATTCGTCCCTGTATGGAATACTGTTGTCATATTTGGGCTGGTTCTTCTAACGATTCACTTTCTCTTCTTGACAAGGTCCAAAAACGCATTGTAAATGTTGTTGGACCTGGACTATCTGCTAAGCTTGAACCTCTTTCCCATCGTCGTAAAGTTGCATCTCTTTCTCTTTTCTACAGATACTATCATGGTCACTGCTCAAAGGAGTTATCATCTCTAGTTCCATCAACTAAAATTCATTCTTGTTTTACTCGTCATTCAGCTAAGTCTCATTCGTTTACTGTATCTGTCCCTGCATGCTCTAAAAACTTTTATTCATCTAGTTTTTTTCCCCGCACTTCAATCCTTTGGAACTCTCTCCCATCTTCATGTTTTCCTGACTCATACAACCTTCAACTTTTCAAGTCTTCTGTCAACCGTTTCCTTGCTCTATAACTCTGTTCTTTTTTTTTTTTTTTTTCCTAGTAACTCCCAACTTAATAGTGGTTGCTTGCAGCCTTGTTGGGAGTGAATGCAAATAAAAAAAAAAAAAAAAAAAAAGTATAATTAGTGTCAAGAAATTTAGTTACAGTGTTATAAGTATTATAAAATACTATTAATAGAATTAAAGTAGTTGCAATTAAATTATTACATGGTTAAGTATTATATATCAATATATAATAATATAATAATAGGTATATAATAATAAAACAAAAAAATCTAAAATTTTCAAATGTATTTTATAGTTCAAAAATAAAAAGAATTATGGGAGATATTCAGAAAAATGCCAAAAAATGTAAATTGACAGCAGCCAAATTAAATTGCGTCTATGCTTAAAAACTTTTTTTTTCTCAAAATATGTTATATAGATTTAAAAAAAATAAAAAATTAAATTTGTGTAAAAACAGAAATTAATTTAATTTCTTAATAAAATAAAACCAATTTTCGATAATTCTCAATGATCTCAAAATCCTTTGTTGCATCAAGTGAATTGTTACAGTACAAGCGATGCTTGTACTGTCAAGTTGAAAGGTTGTTTAACATCATAACCTTAGTAACCTTGCTAAGTATTTTGATGTTTGGTACTGTTATTATATATCTCTTAATAATGCTTCCAGCATGGTAAAGGTGTTGTAGAAGTCCTTTTCTGGAGTTTGGCGTGCATATAAAATAATAAATTTTACAATTAAACACAATTATATAATTATGTAAAATAGTTTATTTACTAATAGTAGTATATCTATATAATAATTTAGCAGATATAGATTTCATTTACTTTTCGATAAACACTTCATATACTTTTCGAGAGAGATTTCATATACTTATAAGGTATTTAGCAAATATATGGACTCTTAATTGTAAAAATTGTAAGCATCAAATATTAGTATGATTAAGGAGTTTAAAATAATCTTTCGGTTTTGTAAATTTTAAAATGTGCTAGTAAACCTTACAAGTTTGAACTTAATTATTGTATTTTCTTTTATGTGATAAAGTATTTAGTAAAAAATGTACATTTATTTTTAGCTAAAATTTAGGAAAGCTAAAATATTTATTCTGATTTTTCTGCGATGACAAGCTCCCATTTTATATTTACTACTGTTTAGGATGTGTCTGACTTGTTTGGAGCTGATTTGCCAATGGAAGGAGAAACTGGGTTGTTTAAATGGAGAGACGGTCCTTTACTTAAAGCTCTTAAGAATGAAGAATGGGTAATTTTTGATGAGGTAAAAATTTTGTGGTGTTTAAATTCTAAAATGAATGAATGTTGTTGTTATTGTTATTGTTGTATACATTATTTTTATTAAAAATATTTGGTATCATCCTGCAGTTATTTATATCAAAAACAATTTAAGCCTGAAACTTTTCTTAATAAATGCACCTAAAATAAATGTGTAAGGGAAAAAATAAATTAATTCAAGTTGTTTAACTTATTTAAAACATAATTATAAAGAAACTTGCAGTTTTGTATTTTTCAATTTGAGCATGGTAAAAGTCCTTATTCAGTAGGATTGTAATTATGAAAAAAATAAATCTCAATCTTGATATGTAATAGTAATAAAAATAATTTAATAAAAAATCTCTCGGTATAACAAATTTTAAGAGAAAAAACACAAAAAATTACTTCAGGTCTATATTTTTCCCGAAGGTACCAAAGTAACCAAAGAATTGTATTTTTTATGAAAATGAATCTTTATCCCTTTTTTTTATATACATTAGAAGAGTATAGTTTCATATACATTAGTAAAAGCTGTTAAAAACTAAAAAGTTAAATCTTATAATATATCTTACAAATAAATAGTTAATTAAAAATTCATTTTTTTTTAATTTTGTTCTGTTGTCCCTATGTATCAGAAAACAGACAAGGTTTCTGATAACAACCATTGAAAGAATTTGTTTAAAATCATTGATTTTTTTTTAAAAGTTATATGTCAAAGCATGTTAATAGTTGATTGTAAAAAAAAAAAAACTTAAAAATTCTTGTTAGCCCTCTCTTCCTTTTAGGCCATTGTTTTTTTTTTTTAAATATATTTTGAATTTTTTTGATTCTTAAAGGGACTACCAAGTCCCGAGACATATTGTGTTCATATTAAAGAGAATGTTTAAAAAAAATGTCTAAGCAAATTTTTTTTGATTAAAACTAATTAATAAATGTATACCAAGAAAAACAAATCTTGTTGTTTTAGTCGAAGCTCGTCTTCTCCGTTTTCTCTGGTATTTTGAGTATGTAAAATAAACGTGATTTTCCAGGCACATTATACAGACTTGATAATTTATTCAAGCGTGTTTAATTCAAAGGAGTTTTAGAGCATGACGTCATTGGAAACATTCTAGAAATTCCTACTATTAAATTTTACTCAAATAGCTAACTATAGTTACTTATTTTATTAAAAGTTTATTTTATTAATTGTTCATTAGTTTTTTACAAATCTAACAAACAATTAATTAAACCAAGCACTAAGAAAAGATATAAAAATTAAGAATATACAAATAAAATATATAATTTGTAATTAACTTTCAAAATTTTGACAATTTAAAAAATATATATTATAAAACATTTATTTTTGTAAACAAATTATAATAGTTTAAAAGTTTTACGGCTTTACAGATGTGGTCTAAGAATGAGCCATAATATTAAAGTAATATTATTTGATAATATATTCTTAAAAAAATTTATGCTAGATATTTTAAAACGCAACAAATCGTAAATAATACAATTCCTAAAATATTTCAACAGAATACTCTAGAATTTTATTTCGCTTAGTCAGCGTGTTTTTTGAACCAATAGAATTAGTTTGTTCACAAATTTAGCGGGTTTTTAGTGTTTGCGAACATTCTTTTTATTCTTCCACAAGATGTTTTTAGAACATTCAAGTTAATTATGTTTCCATGTATGTCTGTAAAATTAAAAATTAATATATATTGATTTTTTAATTTTTAAACCCCCGCCATAATATATATTGGATGTTATAATGGAAATATAAATAATGAAATAAGATCACCTCAATACCAAAAAATACATTTTTGAAAATCAGAGAAAAAATGCGTTAATAATTTTTTTTTTAATATTTACAAAGTAAATTAATAAAAGTGCATTATTATTTAGGTTAAAAATTATCTTATCTAATATTTTGAAAGAAAAACTTATAACAAAGGAAATCAAAATACACGTGGTCTAGACAATTTTTTAAAAAAAATTTAAAAAAAAAAAATACATTTTTGAAAATCAGAGAAAAAATGCGTTAATAATTTTTTTTTTAATATTTACAAAGTAAATTAATAAAAGTGCATTATTATTTAGGTTAAAAATTATCTTATCTAATATTTTGAAAGAAAAACTTAAAACAAAGGAAATCAAAATACACGTGGTCTAGACAATTTTTTAAAAAAAATTTAAAAAAAAAAAATACATTTTTGAAAATCAGAGAAAAAATGCGTTAATAATTTTTTTTTTAATATTTACAAAGTAAATTAATAAAAGTGCATTATTATTTAGGTTAAAAATTATCTTATCTAATATTTTGAAAGAAAAACTTAAAACAAAGGAAATCAAAATACACGTGGTCTAGACAATTTTTTAAAAAAAATTGTGCAAATATAATACTATTTTGTTTTTTATTTTATTTTTGTTTTTAATTTTATTTTGTTTTTAATTTTGTTTTACAAACAAATTTTAGAACTTTAAAATAAAATAAAAATGAATATGATTTGGAAATTGTATGTAAAAAATAACAATCGGTGTTTTAAACAAACAAAAAAAAAAATCTATGATGTCATGCACTAAAACTTCTATGAATTAAACGTGCTTGAATAAATTATCAAGTCTGTATAATGCGCCTGGAAAATCACGTTTATTTTACATACTCAAAATACCAGAGAAAACGGAGAAGACGAGCTTCGACTAAAACAACAAGATTTGTTTTTCTTGGTATACATTTATTAATTAGTTTTAATCAAAAAAAATTTGCTCAGACGTTTTTTTTAACATTCTCTTTAATATGAACACAACATGTCTCGGGACTTGGTAGTCCCTTTAACCAAAAAAACATTTTTTTTTATAGCTCTTACATATCAAGGTTCTAGTTTTTGTTTTTTCAATGCACCCTATAATATATAATGCACCCTATAATATATGATATATAATATATAATGCACCCTATAATATATAATGCACCCTATAATGTATAATGCACCCTATAATATATAATGCACCCTATATCTTACACAATATTATGTAACTACAACATGATGCAAGTATTATAGTAGGGTACATTACCTTGGTAGTAATGCTTCCTACAATTGAAAATTTTATAGTAGGGTACATTACCTTGGTAGTAATGCTTCCTACAATTAAAAATTTTTTTCACAAAGTTCTTATACGTATAGTTTATACAGTATTCTGTACCCTATAATTTATACAGTAATCCATACCTTATAGTTTATAGAGTATTCTGTAACAACAACTGTTATATTTTTTTGTGTTTTCAGTTTTCAGATTAAGTTTATGGATATTCAAAATGGACTTTTAAATCTATTAATGTCATTTTAATTCAATTTATGTGGCACATAATGTTTATGTAGCACATCACATATAATAAACTCATAAAATATGTGATATTACTATCTAATATCACTGGAAGCATCAGCAATATACTTACAAATTACAGTAGTCAAATTGCTTATAATTATTTTTTATGATTTACATATTTTAATTTCTGTATTTAATAAAGTGAAATCAAAAAATTAAAAATAACTATTTTTTTCAATTAGGGTTTTTCAGGGTAGATCAGTCTCATTATGCAAACATGAACATTCAGGGTGGCCACTGGTCATGAAATCATGGAAATGTCATGGAATTTTATTTGGTCATGAAAAAGTCATGAAGTTCCTAAATTTTCATTGAAAGTCATGAAAAATTTATGGAACTTTTTAAAATGATCTTTATTTTTTTCTAATTGTGATATTTTTAGGATGCAAAGAAAAGTAGTTTTATGTCTAGTCTAAGTCCTTTTTATAAAATTCATTTTTGCAGTGTAAGTTATTAAAGAAGTAAAAGAAGAAGACTTTTTTTAAAACATAATTTCAGAGTTTCTACCAATTAGTTTTTGGTTTGCATGTTTTATCATGACCAAGTTGCAAATATTTAGAGCATGGCAAGTACGAATATTTTATTTAGTGATTTATCATAAAAGTTTGGAAAAAAAGTCATGGAAAAGTCATGGAATTTCATTTTTAAATTTGAGCGGCCACCCTGACATTTGTATGCTCATTAATATTTGGATGCAAGATTTTTCAAATAACAGAAAAAATAAATGTCTTGCATATATATTAGTATTTTAAATGTAATGTTTTAAAAAGAGATAGGATAATAGAATAGTAATAAAAATAAAAATTTAGTAATACTTTACATAAAATACATTACAATAAGGTTAATAATGTAAGCAACAAAAAAATTTTAAAGAAGTTTCTTAAACATTTTTTTTAGTTAAACCTTGCATCACAGTCTGTGCTAGAAGGCCTGAATGCATGTTTTGACCACAGAGGGGAGGTATATGTTTTTTATTGTATGATAATTGGAGTTACACCAAGAATTTAGTTAACATTGTTTTGTTTTTTTGTATTGTTTTTTATTATTTTTTTAATTTACTTAGTAGATTTTTTTAGTTAAAATAGTCACTTTGACTTATTCATGGGTAATAAAAACACAATTAATTAACTAATTTATTGAACTATATTTTTATAACATTAATGTAATAGTTCTTCTTTATCTTTTTTTTAGATTTTTTTAAATTTTTATTTGCTTGTCACTTTTATTTTCTTAACTTTTTTTTTTTTTAATTAGATTTTTTTTACTAGGTTTATAAATAAGAACTTCTTGACACTTTGACAGTGGAAAAATTTTATATATTGAAGTTTTTTAGCGTTTTGGAAGACTGTTTTTATTTCATTCTTAAATCATTAATCTATAGACTTGAGGTTTACTAGAAATTCTTTATAGAGCAATGCTAATCTTTCATGATGAGCATTTCCCATAAAAAATCATGATGGATGGATCAAAAAACAATTCTTTATAGGTAATGCAGATTTTAAGCAGTCTATGAGGGTAAATGATTACGTAGAAGATCAGATTGGTGATAATCCAATTGCTATAAAATGAACTTTTGAATAATATTAATGAAGAATTATTTTTTTAAATTTTTTTTCCTGATATTTTTAAATATAATCAATCTTTTATTATTTTCTATTTTAATAAAAATAAAATTTCATTAAAATAAAAATAAAAAAAATTCGAAACTAGCAAAATAAACTAAAAGAAAAACTATAAAGCTTTTAAAAAATTGATTTAAAATATAAGTTTCAGTTAAAACTGTAAAACATTGACTATAATATAAAAATTTTGGAAGACAGTGTTTTCATTTCACTCTATGGAGCTACCAAGAAAGTTTTGCCAAAGACCATGCAAAAGTTGATGTCAAGTGTAAAATGCAAAGTACATGCATTCTTGCGTACACAACTTTACAAACTGTTATATGTATTTTGAAAGTACATATATTAAATTTTTATATTTCACTTAAGTAATTAAGTGAAATATAAAAATTTAATATATTTTAATACACAGATTTTTTCTGGTACATGTCTTAAATGTCACATAAACCATATCAAAAGGCAGTTTTGGACATGAAAAAAGAAAGGAGTTTTTACTTTTCTTTTTGTTCTTAATTATTCTATACCTAAGGTTTCATACCTTATATTCTACCTTTATCTACCTAAGGTTTCAAATCTGGCAAGTCTTCTCCATAAGTTTTCTTTAATGACAAAGAAAACTAATGGAGGTATATGAACTATTTTCTTCTTAAAAATAAAAATCATAATGTTGGGATTTCTGTTATAACAAGCAAATCTTTGTTAAACATTTTTTTCTTTATTTTTTAGGTATTTATCCCTGAACTTAATAAAACATTCAAACTGAAACGAGGCAAAACAAAAATATTTGCATGTCAAAATCCATATCATGAGGGAAATGGAAGAAAAGGTTTACCAAAATCTTTTCTTAATAGATTTACGAAGGTAATTAGTTAAAAAATTATTCTTTAAACTTAAAATTTTAAAGATTTAGTTTTGTTCCAAATTATATTAAGCAATGTTTTAAAAGAAAATTGTTTATTTTAAAGAAAGACTGCAGCAGTTTGTTCATTTTTAGGTTTATGTAGATATGTTGACCAAGGATGATCTACTTTTAATTCTGAAGTCATTGTTTGAAAATATTTCGGATAATCATATTTCAAAAATGGTTCATTTTAATCAAAGTGTATGGTTTATTGAAGATTTGATTTTTAATTTGTTTTTTTAAGATTTGTTTCTTACCTAGTAAGAAAAATATTTTATTTATAATATTTGTATTTAATTCTACATAAATCAATGTGTTTCACGGAAACATATGTGGTTGCATACCTTAACTGACCATGCATAAAATTTTTTGTTTGAATATTATGGCCACGGCTCTTTTTATGTTTTGAAAATTTTCTTATTTTAAATATGGAAAAATCAAATTAAACCAAAGAAAAATTAAAATAAAAACAAACAACAATAAACTGAAAATCTAGAACAAATGTTACGAAATGAGAAAAAAAATTTAAATTAAAAAAAATTAACTTACTTGAAAAAAATAAGCTATAAAAGTAACACGTCTTTTTTAATATAAAAACATTTCTTTAAATAGACTTAAGAAAAGATCAAAAGTTTCAAACTTGTTTAATTACTTCAAAGCTTCATTTTTTAAAAACTTTAAAACTTTGACATTTTCGAATGTTTATGTTTAAAAAAATAAAAAGGTTTGAATTGGAACACACCCAAAATAAGGCCACTCTTAATCTGTAGATCTTTGTCTTATTAATTACAATGCTAACATATCAAGGGTACAAAAAAGTTATTACATTTAAACTTTTTTTATGTTTAAATAATATTTCTCTTGCAGACTACGATGAGTGGTCACTTAAATTGTTAAAAGTATTTTTTTTTCATGTTCATTTTTTATTTATTTTCTCATTTGTTAAAATTTTTTCAGTTTTTTTTTTTAATCCTATTTATCATAACATGCTAAGTGCCATGGTCAAGTTTTCAACTTCAACTGGTCACAAATAAAATATTTTGTTGTGGTCAGACATGCGAATGCATGCGAAAGCCTAATAAATATTACACAATATAAATAATATTTGAATTTTTGTTCAATTGTTATTTTGCATTTAAGTTTATTGCTTTTAGATTTTTAAATTTTGCTATAAGAAGTTTTTAACAAAAATGTTTCCTTTTAGTTACACAAAGAAGTTATTGTTGAGTCCAATTGGGGAAAAAAGGGAAGTCCTTGGGAGTTTAATGTAAGAGATCTTATAAGGTGGTGCGAACTTTTGGAAAAAAATCAAGTAATTGAGTTTTTGATTGAGTATTTTATTAATAAACAATTTTTTATTAATTGTATTTTTTTTTCTTTTTTGTAAAGAGGTATTTTAGAAATATAACTTGTTGTTTATCACTTAAATTTAAATTTAAGTGATGTTTTTAACAATATTTTAATAACTTTGTAGAACTAGAATACAAATTAATTTTTATTTTTAATTTATTATTCAGGCAAAATAATGATAATAATTTTAATAATAAATATTTTTATGCATATATTATTAATATATGGATAATTTATATTCAACTGATTGATATTTTTGATTAGTTTAAATTTATTAGTAGAATTAATGCAAATTTTAAAGAATATGCAAATCCAAAAAAATGATAAAATTATGTGCCCCAACATTACATAATAAAATAAAAAACCTAGGATTACAAAACAAAAATACAGCAATTGACACAACAATACTTAGCATATTAGATGTGGTTAGCCACTGCAGTATTTTTTTTTTTAATTTATGGAGTTAATATTGATGCTGCTGATATATTTGGTATTTCAAACATTGGCAACTTTGCATTAATTTTTTTTTAATAATAATTGTTAATATAGTAATGATTAATTAGTAATAGTTGTTAGTTAAAAAGAAATTAAATTTATCAAACTAAGTTGATTTAATTTTTGTAACATTTGACCATGTCATGATTTATATGACAAGTTTTAAGCAGTTTGAAATCAATTATTCAAGCCTTTTAAAGTGCGAATAATTACTTAGGTGCTCAATTTTTGTTTCATAAACATCTTTGCTTTTTTCAACTGCTTTTATTACTTCATTAAGAGCACTGACCGGGGTGGAAAACAATGTTATGTAATGAGGTTAGCTTTAATAAGAGTTTATAATGACGTACAGTATCAAATGCTTTTTGGAAATCAGCTTGTAATTATATGTATAAATAGTTTTATAATTAAATGTATAAATAATAATTTGCTAAAAATTCTAAAAAAACTTAAATGATTAACAATAATTTTTACAAATTATTTTAGGGAGCTCATCCAGGTGATTTTATCTCCATGATATACCTAAACCGAATGAGAACTGTTGAAGATAAAGAAAAGGTAAAACTCTCCATAATTTGTTATAGTTTAAAATCTGTATTTTTATTACTCTGTTTACAAGGAAAAAATAAAAATTAGATACAAGGTTTTTAAGCATGAAGAAGCAGAGTTAAGTGGTCACACTAGATTTATTTTTCTGGATAGAACACAAAACTATAATTCCTTTGAGCTATAATTATGATAATAATTATAAAAAAAAGAGAGAGGCAACCTTATAACAATGTGCCAGAGATTCAAGCTTTGCCGCTAGAGCAGGTCTAACTACGTTTTCTATGTATTTTGCACCTAAAATAGAAAAACCATCATTAGAAGACCCTGCTCAATCATGAAAAATTTGTTCTATTCAAGGACCAACCTTTGTATGTTTTGTAACTTCGGTAGAGAATAGAATCAGGAATAAAAGATGTATAACAACCATGATAAGGAGAAGCAAACCTAGTAAATGCAAATTTTACAATGAAATGAATAAATTGTTTATTTGACTACTTTATTTGTATTATAATATGGTTAAATATTATTTTCATTGAAGGTCAATAATAAAAGATAATTGTAAACTAGGATATGTCCAAAGAGTTTTACTATTTAATAATATCATTGTTACAATATAAAGTAGTTAAAAACAAATGAATTTTTTTAAATTAAAGTTCATTTGTAACTATAACTCCAAGCTATCACAGAGGAGGTCAATTTCAAGATTGTTTGCCTGTTCTAAGCTATCAATAAGTAATGCAGTAGTAGGGTAGTGGTAGAGCACTTTTTTTTCAAGAAAAATGTTTAAGTTTAATACTACGCCCCTGATAGTACTGCTTTTAACTTGTTTCTCTGTGCAGCAGCAGCGTCTCTGTTTATCAAGGCTTGTGATTTGGAGTTTAATGGTTGAGAGAGAGAGTTATATTAACTAGCTTTTTTTAATTAGTAATCTTCTTGATTGTAATCGGTTGCATGGCATTACTGGACCCCCTAGTCTTAAAATGAATATATGATTATTTAGCCACTTATATTGTCAGAAAGATCTTCAATATATAAAAGAAACAGTATGGGACAAATGATTGAAGTACACCAGAGGTTACTGAAACAGTATGGGACCAATGATTGAAGTACCCCAGAGGTTACTGAAACAGTATGGGACCAATAATTGAAGTACCGCAGAGGTTACTGAAAAAGCTACCTCTTATAGTACCTCAGTATTTACTAAAAATGTAAAACAGTGTTTTCTAATGCCATTTTAATGCTTTTATTAGAATTGATGTTTAACTTTAACACTGTTATTAGAATGGGTTTTCAACTTTAATACTGTTATTAGAATGGATGTTGGCATTTAAAGTATTGTTAGAGTATTACATTTGTTATAAATCATGATTTTTGTTGTAAGCTCTCTTTTCAAAACTTCAGTTACTGAGTATTCAATATTCACAATTGAGATAAGCTGTAAACTATAACATATAATTCTAAATCAGGCAATCATGACAATCAAATGTGAATTAAGAAATAAATTGTTAAACAACTGAAAATTGTGATAAACTACAAACAAAAAAGAGCTTCAATATTTTTATTCCAATAATATTTTTGTATTTTTACTTTTATATCTTTTTTGCCATTTATCTATCATATAATTACTTTGAACTATAAAGTTTTAAAATTATCTTCTTTTTTTAATATAAAGTGTCATTTTTTTAAAAGATCTTTACAATGTTTGTAAAAATATGAAATTCAATAAAAATCTTTTTTTCTTCAAACAGATATTGTTGTTATATGAAAGCATTTTTCAAGACAAATATATGATGCAACGAAGAAAATCAAGTCAATGTTTGTTTGAACTTGACCAGAATAAATTTAGAGTAAGAATTTATCAAAATAAGTTATTAAAATAAAATACATTATCTTTTTTTTATATGTATGCTTTATTTATATATACATTACTTAATTTATATTTTTTTTAGTACCTTTATAAAATTATTTTTAGGTTGGCTTTTCAGAATTAATTCGCTCTAAAAAAATAATAAATAACAATACAAATTTACAGCTTTTGCGATGTTTTTTACCCTATTTGGAAACTATCATGAAATGTATAGAAATGAATTGGATGTCCATATTGGTATTCAAGTTATTTAAAATGTTTTTATATTACTATGGTTTTTTTTTAAATATGTATTGCAGTTACTAAAATCACTTTAGTGTATATTTTGGTGTTAAAATATTTTATCATAATGATTTTAAGGTATATAAACTTGAATTTCCAAAAAACCAGAACTTGTTTTTACAATATACAAAACATAAAATGAGTTAATTTAACATAATGCCTAAATATAAATAAGTATAAAGTGTAATAATTTTATTTTTATTTTAAAAAGGTTGGATATGAATGCAGTGGCAAGACAAGCATTGTGCATCTTTTATCTTATCTCATTGGACACCCATTGTATGTATTATCTATGAATTGCAGTATGGATACTATGGATATTATTGGTGGTTTTGAGCAGGTTTTTAAAAAAAAATTTATATACTTTAACTTTTAGTTATAGTAGGTAAGGCCTAGCATAGTTTGTGGAATAAATAAAATAGTTTGTGGAATAAATAAAATAATTTGTGGAATAAATAAAATAGTTAGTGAAAACCTTGGCATGTAGTGGTGATAGTTAAGTTTGAATGATGGATTTAAATAAACTTTTTTATTTTATTAATTTATTTGCATTGTAATATTTAGTTTGATTTGTAGTTTGAGTTGTTAACATGAATAAGATAAATTAAAAATAAATTAAATAAAAATAAAGATGAATAGATGTTTAGTTTGATTTGTTTATATAAATAAACTGTTTAAAGTTTACAATAAATATATATTTTTTATAAAAGGTTAGTAATGACTTGATTAATGATGAACTTTTACAAAGTTGCACACAAGAAGTTGAACAAGTTATATTGTTTTGTATAAATAAGAGTTTTATCAACATTGCTGAATCACTTATTTTTGAAAGAGAAAAGCTACAAAACATATTAGGTATTATTATTGTGAATTTTGTATAGTCACCAGTTTAATCTGTTTAAAAGCATTCCTGTGTATTAAAAAATGTGGGGACAGCCCCACTTTTAAAAAATAAACCAGCCCTGTAGCATGTAACTAGCAATAGGGACATCCCGGTTTTTAAGATATACAAGTTTAAAAGTAATAAAGTTAAATAAGTTAAATAATAATAATTTATCATACTGTATGCAACACAATGTATGCAACACATAATGTATTGCAATTGGTATATTAATATTTATATGTATTGCTCATAGCTCACTGAATGATTCTCATAATTCTTTTACCATTCATATATCCTTGCTTACGAACATTTAACATTTTCCTGTCGTGTCTTTTTGGCAATATTTCTTACAATTTTGTCATCTTCAAATTTGTATAAAAATCTTTACTCTTCAAATTTTTATAAAAGTTTTTTTTTGTAACTTTTTTTGTTTTTTTTGAAATTTTTAAAATAATTTAAAAGGTATCAGTTATATATAACACAATGTAAAAAGTGTCTGTTAGTTACAGTAGCATGTTTATGTTTAACTTTTTTAATATTATATTTTTTTTAGAAAAAAAAGAAAAGTCTTTAGTTGATGAAATCTATAATATTATGTTGGTAGTTTCACAATTAACACAGTCACTTGAATACAACTCAAATAGTTTAGGTTTTTGTTTATTATTATTATTTTTTTTTTTTTAGTTTAATGCAACCTTTGGAATTAGGATCGGCATTTGGCAATGCCGATCTAATTGCTGACCTTAAAGTATTTGAGGTTGCCTAAATATCGCCATTCTCGTTTCAATGCTTTAAGGTGATTTCTTTGTGTCAAAACAGTTTCTGGTTAGCAATTTATTCTCGACCTCATTTTTCCTAATTCCGAGGGTTGTCTATGTTATATTAAATTAATTTATGTAAATGTTTTTACATGAATTAGTAATTGATGTAAGGTTAAAAGATGAGAAGAAAAAGTATTTTTTTTTATGTTTTTGCATTATTGATTCTTATAATTAAAGATGTTTTGCTTGAGAAACTGACATCTATCAAAAAAGAAGTTCATACAGAAACACAAAGTGGAAGATTTGTCTGGGTGGATGGTGTTTTAGTAAATGCAATTAAAAATGGCTATTGGTTGTTAATTGACAATGCCAACTTTTGCAGGTGTTTACAATTTTAGTTTTATTATCAGTTAATAATAATTATTAGTTAATGTTGTTAGCTATTGTTATTATTGCTGTAATAATTATTTTTATTATTTACAATTTTAGTTTATAATTAATTGATAGTTATTGTTGTAATTATTTTATTTTATTTTTTTACTTTAAACTTTTTAAGTTATTATCTGGAGTTTTTTTAGATAAGTAAATCCTGGAACAGTGCTGCTTTTGTCATGTAATTGCTAGTTAATGAGAATTAATAAGAATAATTTTGAACCACCAAGCATATTTTGATTAAAATTTGTTAAAAGTATGTTATTGGGTTCATGTTAATTTTGTAGAAGAATTTGTATGTAACAATTAGTGCTGTTGGAACAGCATTATATACTTTCTTATATTTTGGTTCTTTTAAAAATGTGTTTACCTCTTGAAAATGCACTGAAGCAGAGACAATCACATGAGGATTTAATTAATAAGTTGTTGCAGTTCTATAAGATCTATAAGTATATAAGTTGTGAGGCTATAAGATAGTCAATGTAGCAACAATCTGCGCATGTTTTACAGTTAAAAAGTAAAAATAAAAACATTCAGAATGTTTTTATTTTAAAAAAATGAAATAAAAATAATCAGAGTGTTTTAAAAGCATTTAAAATGTTTTTAAAAACGTCATTTAAGTTTAAAAAAAAGTTATTACTATTAAAAAGCTAGTTATTTGCAATTAAATTTACTTCAAGGAAAACTTAATTATCGCATGCAAAAACTGCTCTATTAATTAAGGTTACCGTTATCAATAAAAACCAGATAAAACCAAAATAATATTTTATATAATTAATAAAAAAAAAATAAAAAAAAAGTAAAAATAATAATTTAAACTAGTAATGAAAAACAAGAATATTGAAAAGCTTGAATTCTGCAAATTGAATCTACTTTTGTTAGGCTTATATTTGATGCTTAAAAAGTTTTCTACTTAAAGTATTTACGATATTTCTTAGGTAATATACACTTTGCAAAACAACAAAAAAAAATTCACAGATTTTGAAAATGCTAATCAAGTATTTTATATATTATGATAAGACATTTTAAATAAGATTTGATTTTGTTTGATCACATTTTTTTTTACTGAAAATATTTAAATAAATTATAAAATTTGATAATCGCCAACTTCTTTTCTTGTCTATAAGTTGTAAAACACTAAAAATAATAAAAACAATTAACAATTGTAATAAATTGAGTTGTTTCCAATAACTTTGAATGATTTAATAATTAAGTTTAATTTAGTTGATTTAGTATTTATATAAAAAAGTGTTATTCCAAATCATAATGGTTTAGTTAAATGTTTTGATCACCTGTTTTTATGTTAGTTTCATTAATTACAACTTAGATTATTAATTTAAAATCAATACAATATATACATCATCAAAAAACCATGCAACATTCAAATTCAAACCTTGTTTGTTCGCAAGCCTATCAGTAAATAAATGTCAAGCACCTACAATGGTCAGGAGTCATATGCTTTATGACTGTTAATAGTTGCTCATCATTTATTTGAGATTTGGGCAGTGACAAAGCTACATGGCAGACATCCTGTAAAACTTATGTAAAGGAATCAATTGCTTTTAAAAGGTTTATTTTTAAAAACTCAACTATGATGGAGGAGTTGTTTCTAAACATCTAGCAAATTTCTAGTATTGTTTTTAGAGCTGCTTAAAACTCTGTTTCAGCTCTATTAAGTTGGATCTGTGTTGGTTCTTAAAAATAATTCTTTTGCTTCATTTATCCTTCTGTTTAACCTCCTGCTCACACAGCATAAATAAAAGTGGTATTTGAAACATTCTTGTTTTGTGAATCACTATCAGCAATATAAACTGCAAAAAAGTCACATATTATTGATTTTTGGTTTTATTGAGTTTATCATGCCTATTTTTATTGGCCATCTAAGTAAGTTTAATTTATTTTTCAAAAAGCTTTCAGGTTCTAAGAAAATTTTTATGTTTTTGTAGCATTTTTTAAAATTATATAAATAAAGTTATATTTAAGAAACAAAACTTATCTTCACTTGCCATCTAAAAGCAGCCATGTTGAATATCCTCATAATCAGCTGCAAGAAACAGCTAATTTTCTTAAAACGCTTTTTCTTATTTGATCATTTCTTTTTGAAATTTTTGGCTAAGTTACTTTGCTGTCTAGTTCTTTATTGAACTCTAATCAAGAATGAACTTATTTTTAGTAATATTCTCACACTTAAAACAAATAGCATGCCATATGCCATATCTCATAATTTTTTTCAGATCTTCCAAAAGTATGATTGCTTATTGCTAATTCTTTTGGAGCTTCTTTTACCATTTTTAAGGTTTGCATTTTTAATTAAATCTAAAAGTATGATTTTTATTAAGAATGTGTATGAAGTTTTTAACTACATAAAATAAAAATAGAGACTGTATTTTAGTGAAAAAGGTTGACAAGTAATTGCATAAATGAATATTTATGAATTAATAAGTAATAAAAACATAAAGAATAAATTAACCAGGTTCAAGTGATTTATATGATTTGTTATATGGGATTTAAGTTATATGGGTTGTACATACAAAAACAAAACAAAAAAACGTAGTTATAGTTTTATAAACATTACTTTAATTTAATGCAGCAAATTTCTTAAACTTTTACCAACTTCACCTGCATGGCTGAGTAGTTTCTTTATGATGGGCTTCAATTTACTTTACAACTAGTTGCAAAGTGTGGACAGCACACCTTTGAAGTTATATAATATTTATGCTACTGGCAACTCTTGTTACCAAGGTTGCTGTTATCTACTGCATAATACTACTTAAAAATTAACATTGTCATTGTCAGTTTCCTTAATGGTGGTGATATCATAAAGTTACACACCAATTTTATCATTATGAATTAAAACTTTTAAAAATTAATCTTTTGCTATGAGCAAATTTATTTGCTTAGGTGCAAAACCCTTTAAAATGTGAAGTGCTACATAAAGATGGCTTTAAAAGTTGCTTTTTGAATATGCTGCTTAAAATTATGTTTGCATAACAATCCACATAAACAAAAGCAAAAGAAATTGTTATCGCAGCTATTTATCAATAAACATCTTAAAACAAAATGTTATAATATGTTTCCTATTATTATCTCTAGTAAGTTAGTGAAACTGAATTGATTTTGAAAATTTCATTTTCACATCATGTTCAATGCACATTAAGTAGATGTCAATATATCATTGTGTTCTATACCTAAACATATAAGATAATCTTCAGAAAGTTCAAAATTATATAAAAATCAAAAAAATTTTAAATTTTTGTGTCAATAAGTTGACACAGATGGTCTTAACAAGTGTTAATGACCATCTGTGTCAACTTTTATGAAAGGAAATTTAATTATAAATTAATCAAGCATGTTGCTGGATAAATATACATTAAGTATTTTTATTAGTTTTATTTTACTTTCTTTATTTTTCTTTATTATCTTATTAGCCTAGCAAGCATTGGTTGGTTGACATTCCTTATGTATAATAAGGGATTCATATGCATTGAAAGATTTCTAGAGTCCTAGAAGCCAAAATTTTATGGACTCCTAAGTATGTTGGAAAAAATAGAGGCTCTGAATTCTGATTTTGCATCCCTGTAAGTAGAAGTAGTTGCTGCTGCAGGAGAAATAAGCTAATCAAATAATAAATAAATAAATAATAAATAATAATAAAATAAGTAGAAGTCGTTGCTGCAGCAGGAGAAATAAGCGATTTGTGATTTATGAAAGTTTCAAATAAAAGAATAAATTTTACTAATTACTCCAAAAATTTTATTTAATGAGATATACAGTAATTTTATGCATTTTATTAAATTTAGGAAAACCTTAATAGTTGTTTTAAATTGGTTTAGTGTACTTATAAAATTAAATTAATAAACAAAAATGTTAAATTTATTCAAGTTTTATTTTGTTTTACATAAATATTATTTTCTTTGTTTAGCTTTGTTAAATTTTTTTGTGCTTTGTTTTTAATAATGAATTTTTTTTTATATTTAGCTCAGCAGTACTAGATCGGTTAAATGGTCTTCTTGAACCAGGAGGTGTGTTAACAATTGATGAAAGAGGAGTTGTTAATGGAGAAGTTATAAGTATTAAACCTCATCCAGATTTTAGGTGAGGACAAAGTTTATGTATGTAATTTACAATAAGCATTGTAGTAAACATACCATATTACCATCAAATAGAGTGAAAATGAAGATTACAATCAAGTTTACTAAATGGTAAAACAATATGCACAATATAGCTATATATATTGTATATTTTTGTACAGCTGTTTGATTTGATACAATTTGTTTTACAGCTGCTTATAAATAGTGATTGATTGAAATTCAGTATTGGTTTTGGCCAAAAATTTCAATTTCAACCGATATTGAAATTTCAGTTTCTGCCCTTTTTATAAATTTGATAAGAAGCAAAATTTTAAACTCGTTGTTCACAAACTTAACTTTTTAGTTAGTAAGAAAAAAACTGCAAATAATCAAATCATTGCAGTGCACATATTATTTTGAATTTTGCACGAATAAATTTTGTTTAAAGAAAACAAATCTGGTTTACAGATTATAGATTAAATAAAAATATAAAATTTAATGTATTAGTTGTTCTCCTAGATTTTTCTGAGTATTTTTCTTATTATTTATTTATGATTATTAATTTATTTCTAGCTGTCCAGACTTGTAAAATACGGGTCTTTACCAAACCAACCATTTACCAATAATTCTAAAAAATTGCTTTAAGAGCAAAAAAAATTTAACATGTGACCTTTTTCTGCGTATGCAGAGCTTATAAGAGATTTATAAAATGGTTTGTTTTTCTCCTAAAACCATATCAATGATAGCTCAGTGGTTTAGTGTGCTGTTATTAGTGTCCTTTCAGGGGTTTAAGTCTTCCCTTAGCATAATAAATTTTGAAATTTTTTCAATCTTGCTGTATATATTCATAGTATATTTATATATTTTATATACTAATATATATATATATATATATATATATATATATATATATATATATATATATATATATATATATATATATATATATATATATATAGTCTTCTAATTGTTAAAATGAAATTTAAAATACACAATTGTTCTATATACTGCCTGCAAACTCAACATTCTAAAGGCGTTTACACTTACAGATGTTTGTAAGTAACATAATTCAAATGGTGTAACTAAGAAGATGACTTCATTTTAGCTATCAGAATTTATTAAGAGAGGGGCTAATCTAAAACAAAGTTTCAAATTTTCCACTTAAATGAGATAATGTTTTGTGATTTTTCAATCTTATCAATTTTTTTAAATACAATAACATAAATATAAAAATTCAAAACAAAACAGTTATATTTAAAAAGGACTTGTTATTATTAGAAAAGTTTTCTTATATTACTCATGATCGTGTATATAATGTTTCATAAGTAGATTTTTTAAATTTGCATATAACATATTTGTTTATATATAATGTTTATATATAAGCGCAACTTTATTGATAGGCAATAAAGCTGCACTTATTTAGAGAACCAATTTGAAAAATGTTGATTAATTTTAATTGGTATAAGAGATTTATAAAATGGTTTATTTTTCAATTACATGCATAATTTCCATAGCTCAGTGGTCTAATGTGCTGTCATCAGTGTTTTTTTGCGAGAGTACGAATCCGCCCCTTAACACAATAGACTTTCAATTTTATTAATGTGGCAGTTTATAGCAAAAAAAAATTTTTTTTAATTTTTGCAAGCAAAGGAAAATTATTTTTTTATTTTTTTACTTTTACAGCACACCTTCTAAAGTAGCAGAACGGGTTTATTAAATTTTTTTTTATTAAGTTTCAGAACATAATTATTTTTATTTACCAGAGATTTGAAACATAAGTATCTCTCCTGGTGTTTTAATGTTTTTAAAAATTTTAAGCTTTTTTTTTTTTTAAATTTTCTCCCTTTTGTTTGTTCTAGTATATAATATCTTTATATATGTTACGTATATAATATCTAAAGAACTTTAAAAATGTTTTATTTTATATTTTATAAAATCAAAAAAAAAATTAAAACCAAAAAAAATGTGCAGTCGTAAAGATTTGAACCATGGCGATTCTTTTCAGAAATGCTGTGACCTTATTATTTCGGTTATTAAGGCGTATTGTTTGAAAAAAGGTTTTAACACTATTTAATAAATAAAATACTTTATAAAACGGCAAATAAACGCTATAAATTAAGATGTTAATAAATACTTTACTTGAAAATTCCTGCAATGCAATTTTCAAGTAAAAGTAAAACTGTAAAACTTTAATGTAAATGTAAATTCATATTTTTAGATGACATTTTTTAATGAAATTAATATTGTTTTGCCAAAATTTTGGTTTTAGTTTCAGTAAAATGTTTGCCTGTTTTGGTATTGAATTAGTATAACCAAGTATTATTTTTATTTTTGGCATATGACTGTTTCGGTCGATTATTACTTTTAAAACTTTTATTTCCTGTTTTTATTCTATATGTTTTTAAACAGCAAAAGCCTTGAGCAGTAAAGCTATTTATTGATCTCTCAAGAATTGAGTATCAAATTATAATAGCAAGCACATTTCAAGTTTACTTACATATTTTAATACTTTAAGATACTAAGCCATACT